TTTTGTCTATTTTGAGGTTATTTAAGATTGATTTTAAAAATATGGAGTTAAGGGCTTGTCTGAGGACATAAATACAGAGTGATTAATAAACTCGCTTGCCTCTCTGTACAAAGAGATAACATGGAGTGAGAGAATGAGTGCGGGAGTGACATATAGCCCCTTGAATCAATAACCACATCTGTTAAACTCTTACCAAGCATTCCTCAGTTTTCAATGAGGTTGTCTTTAATTTTTCATGTGTGTGATAGTCACACATCAAGCTGTATTGTAAGAGAAGTGGGAGGCTGGACCGGCCGGCCCAGGCTGCTGAATTCTAGTGTCAGTCCTCAGTGGCTCAACAGGTTCGGGTCTGACTACAGGAAGACCAGTTTTCAGCTTCCTCATCACTTACTTGGCAATGCTTTCCATGTAATTTAACACATCAAAAAAACCTAACTGTTTGAACCTACTGATTTTATTCTCTCTTGCAGAAGATGGGAGGAAAAGAAAAATTCTTCGGGCCTCTCCAGGGGCCCTTCAGGAAATCTTCAATTTAGTTCATAGTCAAGAAGATTTCATTTAAGATTGGGTTTGGGGAAGGTTTTAAAATAATTAAACTAGGGCCACAGGTCACTTTCAAACCATACGTGGTTATCCTGCTAATCAGGGTGATAACTGAAGATTTCAAAAGCAAATTCAAACATTAGATAGTTGTAAAATAAAAAGATTTAGCTCTTTAATCAAAAAAGGCTGAACGAAAGACATAAATCTCAAGAAAATTATTTTGGAGAATCAAGATGGCGGAATAGGGTAAGGACACGTTTAAACGGACGGAGAAACATTTAATCAGGATGAAACAGAGCGAACACATTCCAGAAAATAGGAGACGACAGAAAAACAGCAGAGGGGTACCTGGAGGCTGACCGTCACAGGAAAACAGCAAAAAGAACTGTGTGGTGTTGCAGTGACCGATATTCCAGCGACATTCAGCAAACGTCGTTCCGAACTCCACCAGCAGCCAGAACTCCACCAGCAACCAGGTGGGAAGGGACTTTCATTGGGAGCTTGGGGGGTGAACCCAGACAAAGAACTGTCCGTCCTGCTGGTCTGTTTGATTTGACCAGGAGCAGAGACAGAGCAGAAGATCCCAGACGGGCAGTGCGAGAACAGGGTGGATTTCACAGCCCAGTCAGCTGCCTAGAGCCAAATTGGGGCAATTTAGCTTAAGGAAGCAAAGGCAAGGGAAAGGACTGAACATACGCTGAGCGGGGAGTGAACTCATTTCTGACTCAGTGAACTGCAGCAACGTGGCATTCTACAGGTTCCACCCAAGACAGGTCTGGGTAGCCCTCAGACCTGCCGGCCAGCAGATCAAGAACTCTAGTAGTGGTACGTCAGGCGTCATTTTGTACACTGTGGCAAAAGCTTTAGGACTGCAGGGGATGACAGTGAACTGCGCATGTGCTGAGCTCGCGAGAACTCATGGAGTTCCGTGGATTGCACTGGTCCCGCATGAAAATAATACTGACTGTGGTATCGTATCGGTCAAAATAGGTCCGTGTGGCACCCAGACCTAACGTCCAACAGGTTCCGGCAAGATCAGCGCCACCAACAACCTACCTATATAGGACACCTGGTGTCTCCCTAATCCTGGGACCTGCTCCAACTGGAAGTGGGAGAAAGGTTGTACAGACAACAATGCAGCTTCATCACGGAAGCACAGGAGGTGGAGATTGGTGAGCCAGGAGTTGGGACTACGGAGTTCTTTGTGGAAATCTAACATAAGAACCCGGACCTGGAACTTGCTGGAGGGTGTGGCACATTTGGCTGCAAGCAAAGAGTTGTGTGCCAACTGCAACAAGTAAAATCAAACTGCAGACCTGTGGGTGATACAGCTTAGAAACCTGCCCCAAGGAGAAGACTGCTAACCAGAAGTACAATGACCAAGAGCAAAAGAAGAGACAAAGACACAATGAATATTACTGAAAACTCCCCTCCAAAGGAGCAAAACCCCCTATGCCAACCACAGAGTTAACTGAGGAAGACATCAATAAAATGGGGGACACAGAATCCATAAGACTCATTTTAAAGCTTCTAATCAACAATGAGAAACACATACAAGAGTTGAAAGAATTTAAGGAATATTTTACACAAGCAATAGCAGCAATAAATCAAATCAAGGCTGATATAGCAGAAATTTAGAACACAGTAGAGCAAATTAAAAGTACAGTGGAGAGTCTCCAAAATAGAATGAAGCAAGCAGAAGAAAGAAATCTCAGATGTGGAAGATATTTCCTGCCACGAGGGGGAAGCAAACAAAAAGCTGCAAGCAGAACTGGATCAGGCCAAAAAAGTATTCAAGAATTGAAAGACACTATTAAGAGACCTAACAGAAGGTGCAGAAAGAGAAGCCGAGTTTGCAAATATATTTAATGAAATAATAAAAGAAAATTTCCCTAATCTAGAGAAAGAATTGGGAAACAAGATCCAGGAGGAGCACAGAACTCCCAATAGGCCTGATCAAAAGCGATCTTCAGCTAGACACACGCTCATCAAGCTCTCTTCAATTGAACGTAAGGGAAAGGTCCCTACATGTGCATGTGAAAAAAATCAAAATCAATTGACATATAAAGGAATGCCAATTAAACTCACAGGAGATCGCATTGTAAGGCACAATTGAAAACCTTTTCAGTACATTTAATTACATGTTGCCTTTCACTTTGAGGGGGAGCTCTGCATGACCTGTAGCCTGGGTAGTCAGAAAAGCAGCTGACTGAGCTCAGAGTTCTGGGGACGGAGCAGTCGAAGAACACGACTCTGGCCCCAGGGCGGCTTCAGCACTGAAGGCAAGTGGGCACCCAACAGAGGAGCTGGGGCCACCCAGCCCTGCTGTCCGGGGCTGGACACCCAGCCGGTGAGAACCGCACTGACCCATGTGTCAGATCAAGGCTCTCAGAATCCAATCGGTTCTGAAGGGTCTCACCTCCTGACATGCTTTCAGTGATAACAAAAATTGAGTGTATCTTTTGGGGAGGGGGAACATACTAATCATAACACCACATAAAGGCTCTCTCCCATCCCCACCCCTTTCCATACCTGATTTAGTTTGTGTTATTCAACTATCTTTCATTTTTCAAAATGATGAGTTTTATTCATTTGAAATAGAGGACAAGTGAAAGAGAAGATCTTCCAGCCTCTGGTTCACTACCCATGTGGCCACAGTCTGGTCAGGACTGGGCCAGGACAAAGCCAAGACCAAGCAGCTCCTGTCTGGGTCCTCCGTGGCGGGGGCGTGGACCCAAGCACTCGGGCCAACTTCTGCTGCTCTCCTGAAAAGCAGGGAGTTCACTGGGAAGGGAAGCAGTCGGTATTCAAGCGGGTACTCACAAGGGATACCAGTGCCACAGGCAGCTATTTAACCAGTTAGGCCATGACACCAGCCCCTTTTTTCATTTAAAAATAACCCTTTAAATAATCTCTAAAATAGGAGATCATTTTTCCTTTTTATTAACCAACAACAATTACTCTCATAAATTTGCTTACCAAAAATGCATATTATTTTCCTTGCATACTGCACATTCAAAATCATCTCCCTCATTTTTTTGGTAGTTTTAACTATATACATTCATTTAGTATTAACTTCTCGGAACCTTTACTTCCAGCAACAGCTAGAAAGTTCATTATTCCATAGTGTTAAATGTACCGAGAAAGCAGCACAGTCCTTTTTTTTTTTTTTTTTTAAAGTACAGCACAGGACACTAACATATTCAAATATCTTAGCCTTTCTGTAAAAAAAAAAAAAAAATTATTTGCAAGACAAAGAGCTCCCATCTCCTGGTTCACTCCCCAATGTCCACAACGGACAGCGCAGAGCCAAGCAGAAGCCAGAAGGCAGTCTCCCACCTGGGTGGCCGAATCCATGAACCTGACCCTTCTGTGCAACCCCCCAGGGGCTGCATTAGCAGGAGGTTGGAGCCAGGATCAGGAGCAGGTTGTTGGACCCAGGTACGCCAGTGTGGGAGAGGGGCATCTTAGCTAGTGCCTTAACCCCTGGGCTAAGCAGCTGCCCCAGGAAGGCAAAATCACATCCCTCTCAGTATTTTCATCTGGGCCTACAAATGAAGTTATTTGCATCAATTCCCCTTAGCCAATATTTTCTGACCTTGGTGAAAAGAATGTTAACTTTCTTCTGATATAGGGAAAATATCTCTCACATGGAAATTTTATCTCCTGTTTTAAGAAAAGAAAGAAGGTCGTAATATGTGTAGGGGGTTGTTTATTTTATTTATATCTGCTGTTTTTCAAATTTCTTTAATTCAAATGAGTCAGTATGCCAGTACAACATATTTTAGGGTGGTGTATACTGACCTTTTTTGAAATCAAATGTAGACAAATGCATGTTTAGCAATGAATTTTTTATATTTTACTGTGTTTTGAAATGATCTAGGGAACTAATAAATATTTGTTACTTAATTTTACTTAGTATGATTTTTAAGAGTATAAATTACCAAAGAGTTTTGGGAAAGTATTAAAATATTTTAAGTAGAAAATTACACAAAATAATTACTACTGAAAGGCTTATTGATAAACTTTTATCTTGCATATATTTAATTTGTGCATTTTTAATGATTATGCTTGGATTGCTCATGAAAGTTCATGGGACATTAAACAGCGACCATTATCTTTGGCTAGTTTTCTGACTAACAAGTTTTGTAACATGGAGATAACATGAGGTTATTTTGATAGCAAGGCCAGGTAGAAACAGTTGGGTCTGAGCTTAATTTAATGCTGACTACTCCGAAGCCATGTCCAGCGTTTTTTTAGCTTTTCATCTTATTATTGAAGACCACTCAGTTCTCAGTGCTGCCCCCGTGAGGCTCCGGTCAAGACTGCCGGCAGCGATGCGCCGGAGAACCAGGCATGACACAGCCAAGCTAAGAAAGCATACACTTTAATCTGTACCACAAGGAGAGATTCTTCCTGTTAGCACAAGGTCTCTAAGCCTTCATCTCATACTCGCATTCGATGGAAGCAGAAGTTGCCTGGAAGAACACATACGTAAGGTAAACTGCTCAAGTTCAAGGCTGAACTGAGTTACAATGTCACCTTTAGGCATTTATCTTGGTTGTGCTGCAAAGCAAAAAAAAAAAAAAAAAAAAAATTAGATTTAAATTAAGTATAAGTTGTGTGTGGGTGGGAAAGCAAAGTTTATCACAGAATTCAACTAACAGGGGCTGGTGTTGTGGTACAGTGACTTAAGCTGCTGCTTGCAATGCCAGCAACCCATATGAGCCGTTTGAGTCCTGGTTGTTCCACTTCTAACTCAATTCCCTGCCAACATATGTGGGAAGGCAATGGGAGACTGCCCGAGTACTTGGGCCCCTTCCACTCTTGTGGGAGACCCAGATGAAGTCCCAGGCTCCGACCCCAGTCATTGTATCCACCTGGGGAGTGAGTCAGTGGATACAAGATCTCTCTCCTGCTTTCAAATAAGGATTTTTTTTTAAACACGATTTACCAAGACTGAGTATCTATATTTGTGTTTTCATAAGCACATTCATAAAGATCAAGACCTGGAAATAAGAAATGGCAGGAAGTTTATACACACCAGTCCTTAGATCCTGATGGCCGTCTCTTATGTCAGTGCAAGTCCAGCTGCTCTCAACAAGCGCTGTCGTGAAAGTCAATATGTAAAGAAAACTTTCACTTTTCTTTCGGCTCTTAGAAAGCAGTGTTGAATGGATTCCTTGCCCTGCTCTGCCAAGTTTCTGATAGTGAGGTGGGTGTTTGACACCGCTGTTGGGTTGTAGCTTGGAATGTCCAATGCCTCCTCAGAGTGCCTGGTTTGGATCCTTGACGCTCCACTTCAACCCGGCGTCCATCTAATGTGCATCCTAGGAGACCACAGATGATGGGCGCAGGTCCCTGCCACCATGTGGGGAGACCTGGATGGAGTTTTGGGGCCCTGGTTTCTGTCCAACCTTGCCTTGGCTACTGCAGACATTTGGGGAGTGAAGTAGGAGATAGTAGATCTTGCTTTCTCTCCTTCTCTCCCTGCCTTTCAAATAGCATGGGAAAAAAAAATATTCTTACAGCAAACCATAACTAGAATCCCTTATAGAAGTGGACTTCATAAGGCTTAACTGGGAACAGCACATGTTTTTGTGGGTCTCTGTGTTCATACAAAAAAACAATGTTAATTATGAATACTTAGATGGCACGGAATGCAGGGCAGACACTGTTTTAAGCACTGCATATACCCAGAGAACGGCTGGAATCATCTTCAGTCTACAGGTGAGGAAACCAAGCTACAGGGATGCTGCCCTGATGTGTCAGCCCGGCTAAGGGGACTGCAGGGGCAGAGTGAGCAGACACTGCCGCATCTTTGACGATCAAGCCTGGAGTCAGGGACATCTCTGCTGCTCGCTAGCGCCTCTGTTCTATTCCATTTCCCACACCAACAGGAAATGAACTACTCCACCTGGGAAATGATGTGGGCCAACAATACTGTTGTTTCAGTTCTAGGAAATAGGATCTCGTGGCAGATAGTCCCCTGGGAGCTGGACCAGTCTCTCTTCCAAATATTTGTTGGGAAAATTTGGTTGGCTGAGAACAACATATCACCATTACGTTTGCTTGTCGCCCCCTTGTTGGGCATTCTTCAATGCTCTGGACTTTGAATTCAAACCACTGAATGGCCCACCTCAATCTCAGGCACAGAAAGCACACACAGGAGCCTTTGTGGATGTTTGGCCAATATGGCAGGTGGGTGGGAGGAGGCTCGGAGAGGAGCGAACCAGCACAATGTACCTCTAGCTCACCAAGCTGGAGCTGGGACCAGGTGGGTAAGGCAGAAAATGATTTCCACGCATAGTAGAAGGATAAACAGGATCTAAGTGTGCGTTACTTGTCGCTCCTGCTGCTGATGTGTTGGCGCTGGGTTTATGCTCTCATTCGGGATGCCTTGGTGGGAGTAAGCAGACAGCCGCCTCGGGCTGTAGGGCTCCTTGCTCTGCTTCAGGCTCTCACCTCAGATTCACAAGCTTTCCCACAGCCGGAGCTTATTCACCTTACACTAATGACCCCAGTTGCCGCATCACTCCGTGCTGCATCTGTTCGCTTTGTCACCTTGCCTCACATGGATTGCTGAAATGCTCCTTTACAGCCAGGAACTTTTTCTACCAGGAAAAAAAAAAAAACTGGCTTAACGTGAGGCAGGTAACTGGTTTTTCTTAATCTAGCAATCTAGGATTCTGGAAAGGTAGGTTATCATGAGTCATGTGTCTGGAATAGAGGCTGGTCAGAACCTCTGGGGCTTTGCAGCTTTGCAGGACAAAGTGCATTCCATACATCACTGCCTGGTGTTCTCAGGCTGCAGACACAGCAGTGACCAAGTCCCGCTGATGATGGAGTTAATGACAATGGCAAAGGGCTTAGCAACCTTTAGTACATGCCATGCATTCAGAACCAGAAGGATAAAGTAAGTATTCTTAAAGTGCTCTTTAAATACTGAAATAAAAGACACTGTATGGGTAGCAATCATTTCCCAGCTGCTCCACTTCCCATCCAGCTCCCTGCTTGTGGCCTGGGAAAGCAGTCGAGGATGTCCCAAAGCCTTGGGACCCTGCACTCATGTGGGAGAGCTGCATGAAGCTCCTGGCTCCTGGCTCCTGGCTTCAGATTGGCTCACTCTGACTGTTGTGGCCACTTGGGGAATGAACCAGCAGATGGAAGATCTTTCGGTCTCTCCTCCTCTCTGTAACTCTGCCTTTCAGATAAAAATAAATCTTAAAAAAAAAAGGGGGGGGGGCCCGGCGCGGTGGCGCAGTGGTTAAGGTCCTCGCCTTGCACGCCCGGGATCCCATATGGGTGCCGGTTCTATCCCGGCAGCCCTGCTTCCCTTCCAGCTCCCTGCCTGTGGCCCGGGAAAGCAGTCAAGGATGGCCCAAAGCTTTGGGACCCTGCACCCGCGTGGGAGACCCGGAAGAGGCTCCTGGCTTCGGATCGGCATGGCATCAGCTGTTGCACTCACTTGGGGAGTGAATCATCGGACGGAAGATCTTCCTCTCTGTCTCTCCTCTCTGTATATCCGCCTTTCCAATAAAAAAATAATAAAAATAAATCTTTAAAAAAAAAAGGAAAATGTGCATTGTAATGCTTAGTTTAGATGACAACTCAAACAAGCTTTTTACTTTATTGATTTGTATTTATTTCAGAGGCAGAGATACAGATCTTCTATCTCCACACTTCCCAAATGCCTGCAGGGATCAGGGCTGGGCCAGGATGAAGCTAACAACCAGAAACACGAACAGGGCCTCCTACACAGGCGGGTCCTCTCCTGCCACCTGCCGTCCGGGGTGTGCATTAGCAAGCTGGACCAAAAGCAGAACTTGGTTCTAGGCACTCTGTCTGCACTGCAAGGTCTGCCCCTTCATATTTTCTTCCTTTTTATTTTTTTTAATCTTTCACTCATTTTATATGAAATAAATATTTACTGCCAACTTACTACATGCTAATTTCTGTGCTGGGAGTGATAGTACTAACACAGCACCATGAGCTAAAGCAATACACAGGAATCAACTGTAAACAGGTCATTAACAGTTCAATACAAAACATCTACAGGATTACCTGTGCCCATTCTGTTGCGCATCAAAGCCAACTGCAGTTGAAATCCATTAAAGTGGAGGCCCCTTCGATGCAGACTTTTCAAACCTGACAAGAATACATAGGCAAGGCCCTTCTGGAAAATAAATTCACTGGGCCCAGGTGGTCCTTCCAGCCATGAAAAGCAATGCTTCAGCTTGGATTTCCATCCTAATAAGCACTTCAGAAAATGAAGTGTGTGTGTGCCAAGATGTGGCAGGAAACCCACAGCCTTGTAAATATTTCTACTATCTATACTGCAGTCACGGGTGAGTGCTTTATTTCAAAGTGGGGGATTAGGGCCCCGAGTGATTTAAATTCAGAAGGGATCCGTCAAACAGAACCGGCTGTGGCCAGACTAAAACAAAACAATTTTCCCTCAGTGTCAGACAGTGAGAAAGAGATGTGAATGGTATCCATAAATAGGCCAGTTTCTCTAAATGAGCCAAGCAAATCCCGCCCCAAGGCAGGTAAGAATACTGTTAACTAGGTTACTCTGCTATTGAAGTATAAGCGTGCGTGTGTGCGTGTGTGCGTGTGCGTGTGTGTGTGCGTGTGTGCGCGTGTGTGTGTGTGCGTGTGTGTGTGTGTGTGTGTGTGTGTGTGTGCGCCTATCTTGTGGAGCATGGGATAGCTTTCATCCTTGTGTCCGAACGAATCTTTCCTGTTGCCTCAACCTGATTTCTAGCAGTTTCTTTGAAAATATTATGTGGCTCTGACTGCAACACAAAAGGAAAAGCAAAACTTTTTAAGCCATTGTAAATGCAGGGCCATCAGTCATTCTAAGCTTTATCTGCTCTCTTCTCAAGGAATCTAATCAATTCCCCTAAACAATCCCAAATAATTAATTTCCTGTCAAGAGAATATTACTACTAAAAACATCAAGTTTTCCAATTCACCGTTTTTACTTGTACCTACTTCAAAAGCTATCCTCCCGAAGGCGCTGCATGAGTGTACCAGTGCCTGTCTCCTGTGGCAGCATGCTCCTCACTGCCTGGAACAATCAAACCCCATGGATCACAGTTAAGTCTGAGAAACATTACAGCATCACTCCGCTGTTTAACAAAGAAATAAACTAACCTTATCAAACATCCTAAACTGTTTTACCAGACTCACTCAAAACCCCAATGGAGGAATGTAGGTTTAAATCAACATTTTGGAAATGTTTTCAATTGTTTTATAATAATTAATTGATCATCCAGAAATTATATAATTATAAGCATCAAATATTTCCAAATATATATTACATATATATATATATACATTTATTTGGGAAGCCTCAAGAACATTGTGATACAGGACACAACAAATGAGCAAGAGAAATAAACAGCTATTTCGCCAGAGAAGAAATACAGATAGCAAAGGAGCCCATGAAAAACACACTCGGGGTGTCATCGCTTGCAAGCAACACAAAGGGGAAATGACCGTGAGATATGAAACTGAGGACAGTGGTGTCAAGTGGGGTGCGGGACAGGAGCTCCCCCAGAACGTGGCAGTGCAAGCAGCCCAGGCCTTTCGGACAACTGTCTCAAACTGCCCATCACGTTGTGCACACACTTACCGTACGGCACAGCAAACCTACGGTTAGTTGCTGATCCAACAGAAAAAAAAAAGCTCACACTCAGGCCCACGCAAAGACCTGAATGTGACAGCCTGCAGCTTTCATATTCTCCAAACAACGGAAACATAACAAATGGTCAATGGCTAACGGATAGGGATCTATTCAAATGATGGCGGCTGTAAAGCTACACATTCCCATCATTCCTAGAATTATACAAAAAGATCAATATTTTGTATGGAAGTTATAGCTCAATATAGCCCAATACATCTTGACTTTTTAGTTAGGATTTCTTAAAGCAGAAGTCAAAGGACATACAATTTAGTATCTAAGAGATAAACGAACTTTACTACATCTTAACCTTAGTAAAAATGGAGTTATGCCTTATACCCTACATTTAATTAAAGATACCAGCAAGTTCTCTGGCTATTGAATGATGTCACCTTGGCCTTGCTAAGCCAAGATGAGTACGCAGAGCACAGCATGGGACGCTCTGACCTGGCTTCCCTTTGGAGAGTAAATACGAATTCCCCGGAAGGATTTGAAGGTTCTAGAAACCGTCATGACACAGGGGGGCCCCTGGTCCTTCCTGGCCCAACGGGAGGCAGCCGAGAAAAGGGGATGGAGAGGAGCAAACCTCAGCCGCTTTCCTTGGGAGGAAACAAGGCGACAGTCTGTCAACCCCCGGGGAACCGGTGCAGGTGTCTTGCCACTGCGGGACAGCACTGCTGCTGAAGACGACCATCCCGACAGTGACACCACGTGGCAAAGAGAAGCAAGTGCAATCGTGTACTCGGAAGGTCCCTGGACGCTCTGGCTGGATCATGGAAGCAGAGCTTAGCTTCCTGAGGATTGCTTTGACATCTCCAGAAATGGAGCCAGATTCACAAGGGAAGACGCTGGACTTGCATTCGTAGTCCAGGAATGTTCCCATTTGGGGCAGAGCGGGAGCATGAAAGCCAGGGGTTATCAGAGAACGAGATGAAGTGAATTTACCAAATCTCATACATCATTGCTCTTACTGCATAACACACCTCTGCAGCGGAAGCAGAGGATGAAGGACAGACACACGCAGTAAACGCCAGAACTCACCTGGGATCTCAGCACATTCCCCTCGGCTCACGTTTCAGTGGAGCTCCATGGCACGTAGCAGCAGTGACTGCTTTTACAGGTTGTGCCTGCACAAATGGCCACGAGAGCTGAAAGGTGGCAAGCCTGAGCAGTCACGAGGGCTCCAACATGGACACAACTCGAGTCGGGTCCCTGGTGAGTACACGCGCTATTTATGCTAAAATGGCACGGCGGTTCGTCCATCCAGCTTGTCCTGCAAGTATTAGTTGTAATGTACATATAAGCGTACAGCACGGCACATGTACACAGCCAACAGCATTCTCACTCCTCTGCCTAGGTAGGACTCTGGACTTGGCAATCACCAAAAAGACCAAGGGGTGAATGAACAAAATTAGGACTGGTCAATTCTAGGGAAATATTCTTCCTGAATAAATTTAAATATCATCTCCTACGAGAAGCCACTTTAATGTTGAGCTGCTCTCTCAAGCTCTTGGAGCCAGAAGGCCTGTGCTGGGATCTTGGCTCCCTCTTCGTGTCTCTGAACAACTCACACAAGCTCTCCTCAGCTTTCACTGCCATAAAATGGCACTCAATACGAAATCCTACCGACAGGACCAGGATCAGGATTCAGCTTGAAATTTAAAGAGTTGTGCAGGGCCTGGCAGCGTGGCCTAGAGGCTAAAGTCCTCACCTTGAACACACCGGGATCCCATATGGGCGCCAGTTCTAGTCCTGGCAGCTCCACTTCCCATCCTGCTCCCTGCTTGTGTCCCGGGAAGGCAGTCGAGGACAGCCCAAAGCTTTGGGACCCTGCACCCATGTGGGATACCCAGAAGAGGTTCCTGGTTCGGCAGTACCGGCCGTTGCAGTCACTTGGGAAGTGAATCAGTGGATGGAAGATCTTCCTCTCTGTCTCTCCTCCTCTCTGTATATCTGACTTTGTAATAAAAATAAATAAATCTTCAAAAAAAAAAAGAGTTATGCAATTTTAAGATTTGCCCTCTCCCCTCAAAAAAAACAAAGTTAAGACATGTACTTTACACGCTGATGGAAAGAACATGAGGTGGAAAATCTTTTGGAACACTGACAGTATCACATCAAGGAAGCAAAAAAAAAAACCTTCACTATAAATTTTTTATTAAAAAATAAAATTATAAACAAAATACAGAAAAATATTGACACCTGTGATAACAAGAAAATGACTTAATATTTAGGACAACTTGTCCTGGGGGGAAGAAAATGATTTTTATACTTTTATTATGCAAAGGAGGAATGTTCATTTTTACAGCTCATTTACAACAGGCATTTGGCATTGACAGAAAAAGCATTTCTATGCGTACATTCAACAACTTGCAGGATATTTACATTCAAGTTATATCTCCAGGTCCTATGCCAATACAAGCTAACCACTGAAAATCCTCAGATTCTTACCAGCTTTCTGTTCGTTTGGGAGTTTAACATAATTTTATTAGAAAACGATTTTACACTCCTACTGTATTTTCATTTCTTCAAGAAAACTTGTTGACGTTTGCTTCGCAGTTTAAGCAACTGTCATCTTCTGGACAAATTAAACATTAACTCAGATGTGACCAGTATGAAATCATACATTCCCTCCTTCTTAGTCAGTAAAAGGACTCCAGCTCTGAAAATTGCTTTCTATAAAACTGCTTTCTCTTATTGTACTCAGGAATGTTAACTGCAGAGTTTTAGCTTTTTTGTCAACAACACCACGTGTACTTTCCCCTCAGCAGTTACAAAATTCCCCATCAGAACAAAACACATCAGCAAAGTCACAGTGGATTTCTGAAACCTCTTCACAACTGTTCCCACACACTTCTTATCAGACAATCTACTAATTGGCAAGGCTTCGATTTATTTTTCCAAATTATACTAGGATCATTCTTTTGCTTCCTGGCAATCTTTACATTCTAAATTATGATTTTCTTAAAATCAGAATAAATTACTAGTAACTTCCGACATTTTTGTTATAGTTCTCTTAGAAATCTGCCTTACTTAGCGCCAGGTCAGGATTCCATGGAGCCCGTCTAAGGATTAGGACATTCTCAGCCCTTCAAGAGATTCCAGACAGATCACATCTATTCGTGAAGTGTCTGTTCTTTCTTAATCACCTCAAATTAAACTCAAACTTTAAAAAAAATGTGTTGATACTAAGGACAGAACAGTGGAGAGAGATGAATTTTGCTTAGTTCAGCTCATTCCTTCTAATTTTCTTCAAGTTGTAACTTCTCCTCCGGTACATAAGGGCTGGCAGTTGGCAGTGGACTGCTGAGTGGGTATCACTTCCAAGTCAGATTCACGAACAAAAACCACTGCATCCCCACTTACATTTATAAGACACTGTGCCTAGAAGAACAACCAATAAGACAGGCTCGGTTACAGTCCACTACGTGTTCACACTTCTGTTAAACAAGGGACGGTACTGCAGCGTGGAAAAAGCACAAGCGTACAAATCATCAGGAAAACACAACAACCCAATTTGAAAAACAAAATGAAAAAAGGATGAAGAGGGGCACTTGTGGGAAAGGAAACGCAAAAGCCCCTAAAGCTCATATGAAAAATACTAAGGTGTACTATTAATCAGAGAAAAGGCATTAAAATGACATTAAGAGACCACATTTCACAAACTCTGGCAAAAAAATAAAGATGGCATGCAGTGCTGATGAAGAATAGGGCAAAAGCAACATCGCAGAAAGCACAGAAAGCGTGCATTCTGTTATCCATCCACACATCAATATGTAGAAGAAGTGGCTTCAAATGATTCATAGGACCATGAAATTAAAAGAAAAACATCATTTCTGAACATCAGCATATTTAAGCTGAAGCCACTCTCCCTTCTGTAGGCAATGACACCAGCCACTTAGTTCAGCTCTACAGAACTAAGGGTTCTAGAAATTTCACTTTATCAATGCAGTCGTTTTTACATTCTTAGCTACAGAAAAGTAAAAGTCTTGGGCATTTAAGTCGTTTCAAGTATTTTTCTATTATAAATACATTGCAGTAAACAGTCATGTGTTAATACTTATTTTATAATGTGTGCAATATTTCTTCAAGCCACACACACATGAAGGTCATTCACAAGGTCCTTGGGAACTATATTATGATAAAAACTATTCATGGATTTCAAAACAATTTTGTACCGAAATAAGCTAATCTTTTAATTCTACTTTTCTAGGAAGCTTTTAGAAGTGCCTTCCAAAATGCTATAGAAAGCTTCACCTGACAGGATGACGGCCCAAGGCCTTGGAACCCTGCATCTAGATATAAAAGTAGCAGCAAAATATATACAACAATTTGAGGGTAATTCAAAACTTTATGGAGAAATGTAATTAAAAGGTAAATTTATTCTAGTGCAAAACATTCCTTGAAATCCATGTCTAATTCTTTACCCTACCGACTTCTCATGAGCTTTTTGCAGCTCTGTCACACATACGTTCACACCCGCCTACTCATTCTAGTTCCTGTGTCAGCAGTGGTAACAGATCTGTATTCAAGTTTCTGGGTTTTGCGTTTGCCAAGATGCTGCTCCCCTCTGCTCTCAGGGCATTCCCCTGAGCCAGCAAACCAGAGCCAATTACCTCCATCTATTTATCACGGGGCCTACAGAAATAGCAGGATTTATGCTTTGCTTCAAGAGCAGCAGGTTTGGGACACCACAGACAGTATGCTAGCTCATTTATAATACTTCATTTCTTTTTTTTTTTTTCCATTTGGAAAGCCAGGTCAGATTTATGGAAAGAAGGACAGAGAGAAAGATCTTCCACCTGTGGGTTAACTTCCAAATGGCATCAACAACCAGAGCTAAGCCAATCTGAAGCCAGGAGCTTCTTCTGAGTCTTCCACGTGGGTGGAGAGTCCCAAGGCTTTGGGCTGTCCTCTGCTTTCCCAGGTCATAAGCAGGGAACTAGATGGGAAGTGGAGTAGCTGGGACACGAACCAGCATCCATATGGGATCTCAGCACCTCCAAGGTGAGGATTTAGCCACTGAGCCATCACGCCAGACCCTACAGTTCTTAATTTTTAAAAGAAAACTTTAATCACCATAAGTGAGTTATGATTTTAACTCAAAACAAATTTATCCCAAAATGTAACCTAACAAGGTACCTTTTATCTGCTATTCACAAAAGTAAATTGCTTACTAGAAATACAGAGTCTGGCTATAGCACAGCAGTTAGAATTGGACTGTGTCACGGTTCAAACCGAAGGCTATCTTCAGCTCTCCACAGCTAGCCTTCAGATATTCCAAACACCCACTGAGAAAATGGGGTCAGCAGTGGCTCAGAAGGGGGAATCCCAAATGTGATGCAGCACAGTAGCTGGGGGCAGGCATCTGGTCCAGCCGCTCAGCTGCCACTGAAGAGGCCCATGGCCCAGCTTCAGCCATGGTCCCTGACAGCATCCAGAGAGTGAATCAGCAGGTGAAAGCACATGTTCTTTCACTCCCCCTCTGTCTCAAATAAATAAATACGTTTAAAAATATAGAACATTAAAACTAATGCTTGGAGATGTGAAGTCACATCCGAGCTATATGTCACTACAGTACATTTTAAGCATCCAGAATCAAAGATGTCTGAAGTGTAATCCCATTTGGTGGTGGTGTGGAATGATAAGGTCCTGTGTGAAATTCGCAGGCTCCTTCCGGTCAGAGATGCTCCACTGTGTCTCACCTGGTTTTTATTTGGGTTCTCCATGAAAACACACTGCTTCATTATGTAGGAGACAACAGCATTCCCTCCTAACGCTGCAACGTGAGCTCTCACCATCGCGAACACCTCCGCAATAAACGCATGGAGAAAACCACTGACGCCTCCCTCCTAGGGACCAATGCACAAGAACTCAGAAAAGGGGCTACAGAAATACAAACAAAACATGAAATAACGTACACACACAGATATATACCACAACACTGCAAATTATTATAGTATAATGAGTAACAGTGACTAACTTGCCCTCGTGGTAGAGATTTAACTTATAACTTCGACACAGGTTGGCATAGGATTTGCTAACTTTATGCAAGCTGAAACCATTTCCTATCTTTCCAATAAAAATAAATAAATCTTTTTAAAAAGAGAAATTTCTCTATTCACAATATTAATTTACTCAGCAGCTCCTTTCCATTAACAGAAAGCCAGTATTAACTTTCACCTTTCTGGTGTCAAAATTCCTGTGTTACAGAAGATGTAACAGTCAGGGTGCGTCTAGGCTTCAACCGCACCGAGTAAAGTTGTTTTAATACCAAATGAAAGTTCAATGATATTCACTATGAGCTTAACAATTTGAAGAAATGGACTCTCACATACTGTTGGAGAGAGTGAAAATGAGCAGTCTCATTTTTTTTTTAACTGTGAAGAAACCAGCACTAAAAGATATAAAATACCACACAGACATGTGTCCCTATAATAGTCACACTGCTTTGACATGTGAGCCCTTGAGGATTGCTAGTGAAGCACAGCTCAGGCAAGTAACTTCTATGAACACTAAGCCATTCTTTCATGGCTATTTTAAACTTCAAACAGATACATTTAAATATTGACTACACGATAAAAAAAATTCTAACAATTAATGGGTTTAAATTTAACAGGACTCGAAATACTACTACTTGTTAAATGAAGTTTGGTAGGGTAAGCTAGCTCTAGAATCAACTCAGGTAAGTTACTAAAAATTAAGTAAACACAGAAAAATGTAGAAACATATGCTGTTTTGGAAAAAAGAAAAAGCACATCAGACTGAGATTAGTTACAATCAAGAGAAAAAAAAAAGAAGGAATTTCTACGTAATTACCTCACGAAGAGAAGTGGTTTCCCGAATAAAAAACATGTTAATTATCCCAAGATACTTAGTTATTTTTGCTCCAGGAATGAAGGAAAGTGGTGTCATCTTAACAACCCCAACTGTGGAGTTTGCACATGGTGGGGCAGAGCGATTCCGGAAATTTCCTTCTGCCATTGGACTCGCTTTTTCAACTGTCACAGCTAAAGTTGGAAGGAAAAAAACATTAAGTACAGACCCTGGTAACTTGATCGCTCCCTAAGGTTTCCAAACAGTGGTGACAACATTCAGCTGTCTGTGACGCTAAGCCATGTCATGAAAGAAAAGAAATTACCATGCACTACATGCAATTAAAAAAGAGAAAGAAAGAAAAAAAAGAGGAGATGCTTGAATGGAATTCTTTTGGAAGAAAAAATGGCATTCCTGCAAAAGAAACTGTTGATGCAGTATAGCTAGACACACAACGATCGGTTATAGAGTGTAGGAAAAGAAAAAGCAGAAGAGCATTAAAATTATCTGCTGTAGAAACAAATTATTACAAGGAGAGTGTGAAAGTTGTCATTCCCCAGGACAGCTTTTTTTTTTTTTCACCTTTTTCAGACGACTCCATCATTGTTAACTTGTAGATAAACCTTGTTAAGCAGGTGTAATATATATCTTTTTCAAACCTTTTTGATCAAACCAAATCATAACTTTTCAAAATGAAAGGCTAGCTATCCAATAACTGATGATAAACTTATAGGTAATAATAGCTCTCACACATTACCTCCTTTAGCCAGATATGTGTATATCCTCACAATACATCAACAACATGGGTTACCATCCCCATTTCAAAGATGAGGAAAGTTCAAATGTGAGACTCAGAGATACTAAGCAGTTTGCCCAAGGTCACATAATTATTAAAATGCCACTTTTAAAATTCAAGTCAGATCTGGCTGGTTCTATACTCTGTCTTCTTTTCTTTAAATGTGTTGTAAACTCTTTTATTCAAATATAGTCATCTCAAAATCTACCCAACAACCAGGGTTGAGATAAAGAACAAAGAGCTAGTGATTGGGATTCTAACTTGAAGAGTTACCTACTTTCAGCCAGTTCTGGGGGTCACACTGAGTAAACCAACAGATGTCATAAACAAAAAGTAAAACCTTGGGTCCATAAAGGGTAGTTCTTCAACAAGACAGCTAGCAATTTCCTTCTATCTAGAAGGACATATCTATTTCATATATTTCACAAAAAAAACCCCAAAATTTTAAAAACACATTTTTCTAGTTAAAAATAGCAAATCTAAAGGTCCTTCACCAGCGTCTCCGAAGTGACCTTTAGCGTCTGCAGCTTTCACACTCCACAAGGTGACTGATCGGCAATGTTGTTACTGGGCAGGAAAGTCTAGCCTTCACCAGTGGGAAGTTAGGGACACACTTCTCAGATCAGCATAATGTGGTAGAAACATCCGCCTACTTGTCTTAATTGATCCGCGCCTTATGGTCTGAGCTTTCAGTTTAATGAGCTCTATCCAGCTGCTGCATCTGTCTGCAAAGGAACTGTAATCAACTGACGTTGCTGAAAACACAGACAGAAAACAAAAGAAAAAACAAAGAAAAAATATGGATGACGTGTCTTACTGGTCATAACACTCCTGATGACGGTAATTTAACCTTAACTTAGAAAAAGAATGGTCCTTTTCAAGTCAGATAAGAAAGCTAGTGAAGAGTCGAGCTTTAGACACACTGATTGGCCTAAAACCAAGTTCTCTCTTAGCCGGCTGAGTGTCCAGGTGACAGCACGCTCGTGCGGACTCTCACGGAGAGCAGCAGTCTCGTCTACCATAAACGACACGAAAGGACCACATATTGCGCTTCAACTCCCACCCCCTTTCCTTTAATTAACAACATGTTAGTTATTTTTAGCTTACAACTTGAATATATAATTCAAACTTGGAGTATAATCTCTCCCCTCCCCATTTTGACTCTAACATCCAAAATAAAAACAAAAATACTGAAGAATACATGAAAAAAAAAATCACCACTCGAGTTATCTTGCATTACATTAACTTCTTTACACCATCAGTAACCAATAGTTTTGTCAGTATTCTGTCTCTGCATCTGCTTTTTTTGGCACCTGCTTTTTTTTTCCCCCATTGAGAACATGGGGAAGGTGGGGAGGTGTGACCTTAGGAGGTTCTTCTGTTGAAAAGAATAATTTTTACTACTGTAAGGGCAAGAAAAAACATGTGTAGAAGAGCTAAAATTTTATCTTTAGGCACTGGGAAACGATATTAAATGGCTAATAATATTTATAATATGTATTTATAAAAATACATCCTAACTATAAAAAGTCACATTCTGGTGTCTAGTCCATTTCCAGTGGATTTTTTCCATCTGGAATTGTTTGCACCACTGAACTAAATTTTTCACCTTTGGTGACTATTTGCTTAATTCAACAAACTCACCTCTCTGTGCAGCTGGTATACCTGAGTTAGAACTTGCACTCTCCAGGTGTTCTAATAAGACAATATGAACAGCATTAGCTTAAACGCTAAGTACAAACCAGCATCTCATCTTTGTTATCTGTTAATATCGTCTACAAGGCAGAAACAAAGGAGGCTCTTCATGGCTTCCTTATAAAAGCAAACCAAATATAAGCACTTGGGTTTAAAAGGCGCTTTCTATTGACACATGAAAACTTAGAAATCTTACAGACACAGAAAACATAAACATATTAACAAGCATTATTAGGATGAAGGCAGATGTGAGAAGACTGGACAGAAGAAAGGGTGAAATGTTGGAAAGAATATGTAAGCTCCTTCTGGTGGCCGCTACAAGTAGACTGTCCCCCAATCTTGCCAAGAAACGGCTAGGAATCTAACCAGAGACACTCCCCAGTAACCTCAAGGAATATTCTGATAATTTAAGCGCTTATTAATTTACGCAATTTGACACAACACTATAAAAAAGCCAATCTCTTTTCAGTGTTTATGCTCTACCAATACCAGCTTATGTAAAAAAAAAAAATATTTATAAGATTTATTTATTTCAAAGTCAGAGTTACAGAGAAAAGGAGAGACAAAGAAACAGAGAGAGGTCTTCCGTCTGCTGGTTCAGTCACTAGAAGGCTGCAAAAGCCGGAGCTGGGACAGACAAGTCAGGAGCCTCAAGATTCATCCATCTCCCAAGTGGGTCGCAGGGGCCCAAACACGTGGGCCATCCTCCATTGATTCTCCCAGGCTACTAGCAGGTGCTGGACCATAAACAGAGCAGCCAGGACAGAAACCACAGAACAGATGCTGGCAGCACAAGACGTACCTTAACCTGCTTTACCACAACACCTGCCACAAGTATATGTGAATTTTTGTTCCAAAGAATTTTACAAACTCAAAGCACAGCACTGTCATTTATCAAAAAGTCACAAAGGGCCTGGTACAATAGCATAATGGTTAAAGTTCTCGCCTTGAACGTGCCAGGATCCCATATGGGCACCGGTTCTAATCCTGGCGGCTCCACTTCCCATCCAGCTCCCTGCTTGTGGCCTGGGAAAGCAGTCAAGAGCAGTCCAGGGCCTTAGGCCCCTGCACCCATGTGGGAGACCCGGAAAGAAGTTCCTGGCTCCTGGCTTCGGATCAGCATAGCACCGGCCAAGTGGAGTGAATCGTCGGACGAAAGATCTTCCTCTCTGTCTCTCCTCCCCTCTGTACATCTGCCTTTCCAATAAAAATAAATAAATCTTTAAAAAAAAAAGTCACAAAAACCATTGGGAACAATTTGGGTCAGTAAGGTTTGGTTTTCTTCCTTATAAACTATATAAATGTATTTTCTGGCTGTACTTAGTTTGGTGATCTTTTGGTAATATTCTTAAATTAACACAAACGGAACTTTGGTGCAATGGAACTGCAGACCCAGCAGGAAGTCGTCCTAGGTAAGGATTTTGAGGGGCCTTGCACATCAGTGGGGAGGTGGAATCTAGCTAATCTGCTCCTGCTCAAACTCACTGCTATCACAGCTGGGAACAGGGACAGCTGGCCCAGGCACCTGGGCCCCTGCAACCCGTGTGGGGAACCCAGAGTGGGCTCCTGGCTTTTTGGTCCAACCCAGAACTGCCCATCGTGGCCTTTTGGGGGTTGAATCAATGAATCTGTCAGCCTTTAAAGAAAGTAGACACACACACACAAATACAGCAGAATAAGTGATCTATAACAAGACTGACTACAAGACAACAGATTTCCTGAGTAATGGAAGCACACTGAAATCCTTCAGACTTTTGTGGAGTGAATGCTCAGTGTGGGTCAGTTGGATCTCTCTAGAGAATGTTCGAAACAAACACTTCCTTGCTTAGCCCCCCAGTTTCTAGCTATAAAGACAATTTCAAGCTATAGCATCCCACTTCTCTTGTATGATTTCTGCTCTCATTCTACACAAGAAAAAGATGATTTTGCTTTCTGCAAAGAAAGTCACTATTAAGTGACAACCCAAAAATGCAGCCTTAGAAACTAAGTGGAGCAAATATAAGATGATTGTTACATTATTCCATGGCCTATCCAGCCATGTGGAAAAGGAAACTGACCCAGCTTCAATGCAGTTAAGAAGAAATGAATATACTGATGACAAAAAGAAAAAATGAGGCAAGGATTCCTTTCTCTGTTGCACATTTGCCAATCTTCTAAAGTGTGAAACTTCTCCACCCATTTAGGTGGTCAGTCATTGCCCCTGAGAATGAACTGGTTAGTTATAGCCACAGTTAGAACGTATATCCCCTTTGAAATTCATGTTGAAATTTAACTACCATTATAATAACAGGTTCAACATTTTTTAAAAAATTACATTTAACTGAAAGGCAGAGTAACATACACCCAAACACTGGGTGATGGGGCAAAGTGGAGGGAGCTGTTCCATTCACTGGCTCACTCCCCCAAATGCCGGTAACAGAGCTGGGCCAGGCTAGGGCCCAGGAGCAGAAACTATCTGGGTCTCCCACATGGGTAGCAGGAACCCAACGCACTGGTACCAGCATCTGCTGCCTTACCAGGCACATCAGTGGGAAGCTGGATAGAAAGTGAAAGAGCCACAACTCAAGCTGGTACTCAAATATAGTATGTGGAATCCCAACCAGGGGCTTCACCTGCTAACACAAAGCCTTGGACCAGAGGTATGACTCACAAGGGGTCATTAGGCCATGAGGGCTCTGTCCTCATATGGGTGGGACTGGTGCTATTACAGAAATACTGACTTGGCCTCTTCTTGTCCTTTTTGCCCTTCTATCATTTTATGATTGAGCAAGATGACCTACTGGTATTGAGCCTCCTGGATAATAAGATAGATAATAAATTCAGTTCTGTTCTTTATAAATTATCCAGGCTCAAACATTGTTATAACACAAAGCAGATTAAAACAGTCATCATAATGGTCTACACTGATCATTAACTCTTGATTATTTACTTTAGGGGCCCAGGGTCATGACACAGTGGGCTAGGCTGCCAAATACAGCACCAGCATCCTATACCGGAGCCACCAGCTCAAGTCCCTGTTTGTGTGCCTGGGAAAGCACTGGAAGATGGTCCACGTGCTTGAGACCACCACTCACATGAGAGGCCTGTAGGAAGATCCTGACTCCTGGTTTCGGCCTGGCCCTGCCCCAGTGGTTTGATCATCTGGGGAGTGAACCAGTGGATGAAAGCCTTCCAAATAAGCAAATAAAACCAAATCTAAAAACAAACACAAACAAGAAAGGCTCCCTCTTTTTGCCTAGTCCAAATTACTCTCAGTCTTAAAAAAATGCACAGGTCACCTTTGTTCTGAGTAATTAACCGCCCACGTGGTAGACCTGCATTGGGTTCCTGGCTCCCCATTTCCTTCTGGCTGGCTCCTAGGCACTGCAGGCACTTTGAGAGTGAACTAGCAGATTAGATTTCTCTGTCTCTGTCTCATCTCTCTCTTTAGGTCTCTCAAACAAACAAACAAAAAATGTTAACACTGAAAAAATTCCTCCCCCCAAAAATCTGATCTTAAGATTCATGCGATCTAGAATCATGAAATCTAAGCTGTTTTCCCACACATTCCTGTCTTTAGTTTCCATCTTCCTGACATCTCCCTGCTCGGCATCTCCTTCCTTTCATGGCCTGCTATTTTATCTGTCTGGCCACCCAGTAACACAAGAAAAAAAATGCTAATTTCTTTATTATTGTTATCATTTGTTCACAAAAAACATAGCAGACATGCAATGAATTGTTAATGTATAAAGATGTTTTTAGTTAGTATAAATAAGTAAATATAAAATTTAGGTGTCCAAGTGCAGGCTCAGCCCACTGTGCTACAAGGCCCTCCCAAATCAGAATTGATTTAGAAGATAGCTTATTTTCGAGCCTGGCAGCGTGGCCTAGAGGCTAAAAAGTCCTCACCTTGAACGTGCCGGGATCCCATATGGGCACCAGTTTTAATTCCGACAGCTCCACTTCCCATCCAGCTCCCTGCTTGTGGTGTGGGAAAGCAGTCGAGGACAGCCCAAAGCCTTGGGACCCTGCACTCATGTGGGAGACCTGGAAAAATTTCCTGGCTCCTGGCTTCAGATCAGCATAGCACTGGCCGTTGCGCTCACTTGGGGAGTGAATCATCGGATGGAAGATCTTCCTCTCTGTCCCTCCTCCTCTCTGTATATCTGACTTTCCAATAAAAATTTTTAAAAAAAATTTTTTTAAAGATAGTTTATTTTCAGCTGAGTGACTTGTCTGACATGATTTCAAGCTAACACTCAAATGTCCATGTTTTCCGTAACAGTACAAAAGTTAGCTTTTATTTTTCCTCCGAACTAATTACAGGTCTATAATTTGGTAACAAATATTCCAAGATTTAGGCCTTTAGATCTGTATCTAAAGTAATAATCTGTTTACAAAATCTATACGCATAATATTACTGAGACATCTGCAGCCCACGGGAAAAATCTGTGAGGATAATGTTGTGGCGTATCTGTTAACACGCTGCCTACAATATTAACATCACACCAGGGTGCCAGTTCACATCTCAGCTACTCTACTTCCTATCCGGCTCCTAGCCAACACACCCGGGAAAGCAGAAGAGGGCCAAGTTTTTTGGCCCTGAAGTCACCAGGGAGACCTGGGTGAATCTCTGGGCTCCAGCCCAGCCCAGTGCCCACTACATGTGCAGCGAAGCAATGGGTGAACACTCTCTCTTGCTCACTCATTCTCTAACTCTGCTTTTTGAATAAAGTAAATCTTTTGAAGAAATCAGTTTTGTTTTCTATTCAAATGATCTCTGCTTGTTTTTCCTACTGTACTACATTTGCTTTTGTTCTTTTGTTTTTCTATTTATGTCATTTTAAAGTCTCTTGAAAACCATTCCAGAGAGTAAGAAAGATGTGGAGAGTATATGAAACAAAAAAATTATGCAAGTGGTATTAAAAAAAAAAAACTCTGCTAAAACCATCTTTTTTCTTGTAACAGCCAGAAGTGAGCAGGAATAACTTATGTGGCTGCCTATCTCTGTTCCTGGTGGTTCCTCCTTAAGGAATTCTGATGCCCTCCACACAACCATACCCTTTAGGACATAACTTAAGCTCAACACTTTTTAATATTTCAAATCAGAAAAAAGTCAAGATAATTAGCAAGGTAACACTAAATCAACCACAAATTTGAGACACTTCAAATGATTTTGTTACCTTGAAGAAAAAAAAGGCATAACAAATGATAGGAGAAAAAAACTGAACATGGATGGACAATTCATGCCCAGCCTTATTCCGTGTACTGGATTAGCGTACACTTAATTGGAACGTCATTTCTTCATATGATATTGGCTCATTTTCAATAGTGCAAAAATACAATCAAAGGTTTATCTACAAGTGAAAGAGTGGAGGTGTTAATAAATATACCGTGTATAATTTTTCTAACTATTCTGTCAACATAAAAGAAAATGAAAATTTTAGTGAATCCTTCCAAAGTGGATAGTAACATGAAATATAAAATAGAATTCAAACTTACTGGTGCTATAAGAAATATAAAAATTCCTAGAAGGTAAGCCGGACAAGTGACTAGACCTTTAAAAACTATTTCTTGGTCAGTCCTCATGGCCGACCGACTCCTGCAGCTGCGCCTAGAAAGGCAGACAACCTCCCGTGCAGTGATCGCTGTCCTACTTTCCAAACTGCCGCACTTCATTTTATTGAGACATTTCTATCTTCTGTACAAATTCTTTTTACTTCATTCATGTAAGAGCTTATAACTACATTTTCAGATCTTTTTGAAACCCATCTTAACTTCACATATTTCAAGCTGCTTTCAAATAGTTTTTAAAAGATATGTTTACCCCATATCCTCCCGAAAAGACTCAAGGAAGCAGACTTTAGCCAGTATGTCACATGAACCAGAACTGACAAACTGAGAAGGCAGACACACACTTTTCAGTATTTACTGATTTTAAAATGTAATGTTTTAAGGAAAACACATAGGTTTTGCGATTAAGCACTTGCTACAAACAGTTACACACGAATTAGTATTAGACGTAATATGAAGAGAATGTTGATGACGACAACAATGATTCTAAAGGCAGAATGAGCTTAGTGGTTTTCAACCTTTTTGAGATCCTTTCTTCAAATAAAATGCAGAAGACCACTAAGTAAAATCCACCAGTAGGAAAGCTGTTCTCCCCGAGGATGGGGTCCTCACACTCCCACCCCTCCCTGCTACCCCTGTTCACCTCCCAAACACTGCTATGGCTTTGAGGGTGGAGTACAATGTATTGGCTGAACCGATCACATGACATTTAGAAACATTTCATTACAGAAGTTCAGTGTGAGCTCAGCACTAGTTTAGCTCTTATTTGTTTAGTTTTTTCATATGAACATGTGGAGCCTGTGCTGTGGCATAGCCCATTAGAGTGCTATACGCAGCACCAGCATCCCATAAGGATGCCTGCTTGAGTACCAGCTGTGCTACTTTTGATCTAGCGCTCTGCAATATGCCTGGGAAAGCAGCAGAGTACAGCTGAAGTGCTTGGGCCCCTGCTCCAATTTGGGAGACTTGCAGGAAGCTCCTGGCTTTGGCCTGGCCCAGCTTGGTTGTTGGGGCCACTTCGGAAATGAATCAACAAGACCTCCCTCACTCTTTCTCTCTCTGTGACTCCGTTTTTCAAATAAAATAAAGCTTTAAATATATATATAAACATGTTAGTAAATGAAAGTCATAACCTAAGGAAATTCAAGGAATTACAAAATTCTAAAGCCTAGAAACAATCATCTCCTTTACATTTTACCTATGAGGACTTAACACCTAGAGTGTGAAGCAGCTGGCCCAAGTTCTCACGTATTAACAATGGAACTGAGAAAAGCACCCAGCTCTGTCACTTCTTTAGTCCATGTCATGCCCCTTTCTATGCTCCCTAAAAAGAAGTAACATTTTAGGCACTGTTCGAATAATTCAAATTCTTCTATTCTTGTTCTTACCTCACAAAGTATCACTTCACAAAAAACATACTAAGGGCCACGTAGATACTAGTCATAATTACCTATGAAAATTCATTTTGAAAATTTTTGTAGAAGCTGTTATCAAAATAGACTAAGCAAGCCTTCAGAGCTTAAATCTGAGCCGCACTATTCAGTGTGCCTCAATAAATGACACAGTTTAAACTTGTAACTTTTAGTCCTACAGATTTGTAACTGAACCCATGTTTTTGTTGACAGGTTCTGGTGGGTCTTTACTTTTTTCTCAGCCTTCTCTGCAGAGTAAGGATAAACACAGTCATGCGCGGAAGTTACCGGAAGGTACTCTCAGAAATCCATTTCTACATAAAGCAGGTGTTGATAAAAGCAAACAACCTGCAACCTCGTGAATTCAAGGACGATGTTTAACAGTTCTACTGTCTGTTCTGGAAACCACATTTAATTCAGGATCTGAACTCGGATTATATTCTAAATGTAATTTCTTTACCCATTCATCTTAGGAGACTGAAACTCTGAAGCTCTAAATTAAAGAGTTTTAGACAATGACAAAAAAGCAAAGAGTACCAAGGCCTCAGTGTCAACAGGTTCAGAATGTGAAAGCAGCTTTCATCTTGAGTAATATGAGTCAAGATGTGCATGGGCCTTGCACTAACTCAACTAAGATCTGATTGGCCTGGATAAAATAAGAATAAAATCATTCTATACCCATATGCAAATTTAGCATTAGATAACTCACAAATAAAAATCCTAAAATAATTCCACATTATTAAATATAAAAATTAATAGGGGTTGATTATTTTAAATAACACATAATTGTTCAGAATAAAATATTTAAGAAAAAGTAAAACACATTTATCAAAATGTAATTTTATAAAACAAAGTATAGTAATTCTGAACCTTTTTATAGTAAGAATTATGCCGAAATATTATTAAAATGGAAAAAAAGAATTGACATTTTCTACAAAAAAGATATAGATCAAAAATAATCTGCTGAGTCTAAAGGATCATTAGTTTTACATGTGAAAATTTGAGTATATTTTAAGTACATAACAATATTCATCAACTGCAGTAAAAAATTAAGGTGAGAAACTCATCTCTCTCTCACACTCTCCCCCACCTAAAATCCTTCCTCATATCTTCTGGGGGAAAAAAAAACCACTCTGTTTCTATGAAAACTCACAAGTCCTTATAAAGCTTTAATTTTTGTGGAAAAATTATCAGATATAAAATGTCAAATATATGCACATTATATTTGAAAAGTTATGCTGGGAAATTCCAATCTTTGAAAATAAAATTTAATACATTTGAGGTATGTCAATGGGCTATCATATGAAAAATTATCTTAGTAACACCAGGAAAGTATTTGAGAAATGGAGAGGAACATTACTCTGTCCTCTTTACAAACATCGAGAGAAATACAGTGGAGAGTGAAGGATAAACCTTCAGCTCAACTACACCAGACTGCCAATCATGAGCAGAGAACGGTCTGGAAGCCAGGATTCGTGTTTGCCTCTGCTTTAAGGAACCAACCTTTCGCCGGTGGAAAAGGATGCGAAGGAAGTGAATCTGAACAGAGCTCCAGTGGAAACTGCAGAAGGTCTTCATTGTCCGTAGAGGCTGCAGAGGCAAGAAACACCCCAGTTATTTACTAACGAAGAACCTGTGGTAACATACATACTAAATGCATCAAGTACGTTTTATCTGGTAGCCCCGGTCCCAATTTATTCTGGTTATTGTCTCCTTAGCTTCTCCCAAGGAGACACGTCAACCTGAGTAATGTAGACAGTGGCACTATCACACCTGCTAGGAACTCTTTTGAGATTTTTAAAAGACTAATACTTTGAAATCATTTAGCACAATATCATACAAATAAAAAGCCCTACACTTTATACTTTACTAGATTCTATAATATTTAAAACCAATTATGATCAATTGTCTTTGATGTATATCTGCACACACATTTAATATATACCTCTTTGCTACAAACTCAATGCTCAAATCTCACCAATGCCATACATATGGCATACAATCAACTTTACGAAATTCTGGACAAATCAAAAATATTTAGTCAGTAAATAATTTAAAGTTGAGACAGTATGGTATTCCCTCCCTCTCTTACCTTCAAAGCAAAGTTTCCAGTAATATGAGTTTATTTAAGGTAATTCAAACATGATTCTTTCTAAATCGCAGTGGCTAAAGGACCACTCTCTGAATATGCTGAATATTAGAGCATTTCCAGTGCAATGCAACCTGGTGCAATGTGAGTTTGCTCATCACATAGGCTCCCTGCCAGACATCTTAGGACAGGTATCCTAAACTACTGCAGAATCAATGTTATCACCCTAGTCTGCAAACAGAAGCATTCTCTATGTCAACACCATTTTAGCACCTGGTGGTGTATGAGAAATATCAACTTGGCCATACATTTACACATCTGGTTATGACAATAAAGATGGACAGAAAAAGTTCTATCTCTACAAAAAACAGGGTATTTAGTCTACCTCTGCTCCACATCTTATCCCTGAACTGTAAGCGAGACAAACACAATTGTACCTCGCATTTATCAGGCTCACCTCTTTGCAATGACTTTTCAGCATGTGTTTTTGTGGTTTGTAATGCCTGGTTTTTGTCAAAAGTTATCGCAACTGCTGTGACTGTAACCTAGAGTTATAGAAAAATATGATTAGCAAACATCACAGCCAAAATTAAGCTTCTTACTAATCTTTCTCAATACTCAGGAACAAGCTACCATATTTTGCTAATCCATCTTTCCTAGTTAAGTTCTTTGATCACAATTACACACAAAACTAAATATCCAAAACACAACTAAGCCCAACATGCATAGCTAAAGTTAGATATTCCAGAAAGAGATCTCTAAGGAGAGCTCTGAAAAATACATACGGACTGGAAAAATTCCTGATGAAACAGACATTCGCAGCTGGAGCTGTAGCACAGCATGTTAAGCCGCTACCTGTGATCACAGCATCCCAAATGGGTACTGGTTTGTGTCTCAACTGTCCCACTTCTGATCCAGCTCTCTAAAACTGTCCTCTGAGAAAGGAGCAAGATGGCCAAAGCAGCTGGGCTTGCACCTACACGGCAGACCAGCAAGAAGCTCCTGGCTTCAGCCTCGCCAGGTTCCAGCCACTATCATCACCTGGCAAGTGAAGCAGCAAGCACAAGATTTGTTTCTTCCACTCTGTCGATAAACCTGCCCTTCAAATAAACTAAAAAATCTTCAAAAGAGAAAGAAAAGGCACACTTCTACCGTATATACGGAGGCATACCCTCATTAATTCCTGGTTTGGCCTAACACAAGTTTTCAAATATTCCAAGGCAAAGTCCCTGTGTTCTCAAGTTGTCTGTTCCTAACTGTAGAAAAATTATACTATTAAGACAGGAGGGATGACAGTTGGAAAACCTCTCTAATAACAGTCCGAGTCACTCGATTACCTGAATTAATTCATCTTCAGGCAGAGATACCGTAAAATTTACATGGCAAAGGCAACAGGGGATCATAGACCGCAGTTTAAAATACAGGCTCTGCACAACAGAAAATACGAGTAACGGCACTTTTTCTCACTTTAAAATTTACAAAAGCAGTTTTCTTGATGTACATTATAGCAACTGGAAAGTTAAAAAATTAACACAAAACTGTTCCATTTCTATTTCATCTATTCTCAAGTAAGCAACAATTTAAAAACATAGTAACAATCATATGTTAGTAAGTTGCAAAAAGTAGGTTTTTAAAAAAGTTGTAAACATAAGGCAGGTGTTTATGATATTTAAAGCTATTACCTGACTCAAGCAGTTTTTTTCTAATAGTACAATACACTGGGGAGCAGACAACTTTGCCATCTGACTTGATGACAGTTATAAAGGATGGACACATGAAAATATCTTGGCCCACAACCGTACAAAGTATCAGAAACAATACAGCTACTTTTCTTTAATTTCACAGTCCTTAAGATTTTTAAACAAAAGTCTGTCACAAGGTTCCTACCTTTAGCAAATTTTCACAGAGATCATTAAAGTTCTTATTGAGAGCTTGATTAGTCAGGTTAAGGCTGCTTAATCTGATTACTCTTACTGATGTAAACATCTGAATAGAGGGAGAAAAAAAATACATCATTTCATTGTTAGCTGAATATTAAACCAGTAGATAAAACTGCCAATAACCAACAATTACAACTAAAACATGGCACAAAAAAACCTGTAATACACAGGTAAAAAAGAAAACAGATACTTAGATGGGACAATACAAAATTAATTAATGTGATAATCCCTTAAAACTAAGTGTAAGATTTACCTGTATTTCAGATGTCCAATTATTTATACCAGGCATGATTTCTGTATTACAACTGTAAAAGCCTGTCAAAATAAATAGTAATTAGAATATGATACATCATTGACTTTAACTAAACATGTGCCACTGACTTTCATGCTAAGGAATAACATTACTACTATATGAAATGCTAACCAAAAAAACATTTTTTAAAACTTCCATAGCTGCAGGAGTCTTTAAATCACTCGAATAAGGCATCATCCTTTTTTTTTAATGTATAGATGCAAAATGATTAAAATTATTTCTACAGTAGTTCTAACTCAATTATTTCTTTAAGTTATGATTCAGTCCTGGGCAGAAAGCATGCCACAGAATGTGCCCCTAAGACAAGGCCTTGGAAGTAAAGGTAGTGAAGAACTGGTTTCATGTGCAAAGTGGTCTTCTCTGTCACCTGAGGGCGGGGGGACATCTGTCAGCAGGGAGTGTACATCCTCCATGGCATCCGTGTCATCAATCTGAAAAGAGAATGTGCCCCTTTTACAGAAGTACAACATTTTTTAAAAAGTAATAGCAAAATAAAAAATATGAGTACAGCTATTATCCACTAAGTGAAAAATATCTGTGAGAAAATATGTCTACAAAAATAACTCCAATGGTCCAATACTGCAGATCAGGCATCCCTTGTCTGAAACAGATCTGTTCCAGGTTTCACAATTCCTTGATTTCAGAATTTCCAAACACCAAATGCTACATGCACATTTTAATATTACTCAGACATACACATTGAGAACCAACTGACTTATTCCATCATTCAATTTGTAACATTTTCAGGTTTAGTAAAATTTCTATATAATATGTATATATTATATTTATAACTGCTATAATGATAGAAAAATATCACATCAACCTGGCATCTGAATCTGAAATGTGTGCCTTCCAAAGACATCTGAGAAATCAGTCGAAAGCACTATTACCTCCAAAACAAAAGCATCCTTTTTTCCATGTGAAAGATCTAATTCTGTAACTTCATCAGAACTCTCTGATTGAGATCGTAAAAGTCTTGAGCGTTGTCTAGGTTCTGGGATGGGTGATCCTATAATCTCTTCAGATATCTCCTAGAACAAATAAAAGTTCATATCATAAGACTTTTTTGCTTTTGATTTAAACTTTCATATTAGTAGAAAACTCACCGAGAAAATACTATGAAACATACTCCATAAAGCATATATTTAAGTATAACCTTTATAACTATCCATGACTTCCTGATGCCTTGACAACAATATCAATACAATCAATAATGTGTGTGTATATGTATATATATGTGTGTGTGTATGGAACCATCAGAGATGCAACAAAGTTAGTAATACACAGCTAGTACACAGAGAGAACACTACAACAAACCTAAACATGCCTGGATTGGTCAGGTTTTTTCTTCTGAAGTCAATTTATCTTATACTACCAGTTCTTACAAATACAATCTTTAAAGATTTTATTCACTGGGGCCAGCATTACAGCTTAGTAGAGTAATCCACCTCCATGAACACCAGCATCACCTACAACCAACACCAGCATCCCAAAAGATTGAGGGTTTAAGTCCCATATGTTCCAACTTCTGATCCAGCTCCCTGCTGATGTAACTAAGAGGGCATGATGACCCCAAGTCCTTGGGCTCCTATCAACCATGTGGAGAACCTGATGCAGTTCCTGGTTTCAGGGTTTGGCTCTTTGGTTTGGTCTTTCATCATTATGGTCACTTGGCAGAATGAACCAGCAGACCAAAGACATGTACTCCGAATCCCCCACCAAGTCACTCTGCCTTGGAAATTTCAAAGAGTGACAGAAGGGGATAGACAACAGAGAGAACAAGGCCAGATCAGGAGTCAGGGGTCAGCAGCTCCCCATGGCTCTCCCACAAGGGCAGCAGGCCCCAAGGCACCGGGGCTCTGACTGGCTGCCTGTCACATGCATCAGAAGGAAGAACCCATGAGGTGGCATGCAGCAGGCACTCGGTAGGCACCACTGAACTCCCTCCTTCCACAATATTTTGAAACTTCCCTCCTTCCCCCCCCTTTTTTTTTTTAACTTTTTAAACATTTTATTTATTCAAGAGACAAAGAACAGACACAGAGGGAGTTCCTATGCACCAGCCATTCCCCAAATGTCCACAACAGCTGGCTGAGGCAGCCAATGCAGGAAGTGTGAGCAATTTATTTCATTGGTCTAACAGCAAAGATTTGCTAAAATATAGCATTCATAACCAAATTGCTGTCATCAGTCTTTTGCAGGAGCAATGCGCTAGCTGCAGGGTTACTGTGCAATGGACCTTGTTAGTTGGAACTGCCATTGTTAAACATATTCAATGACTGACTATGTTTTAGCTGGAGTTCCACTAATTGGAGAAAATCCATCTAGAGTTTGAAATCTAGCTCATCTCTTAAGCGTGTGTGTACACATATAACATCCATATTTAAATAATGACAATGCACTGTAATAATTCTTTTGTGATATGTAAATATTAAGTGAAATCATCTTTAGCAGTGGTCTATGTTGTGCTTTGTAAGCATACATTTTTGTGTAAGGATGTGACCATTTTACCTTTCACTGTAAATGAAAATACCATGTTTTTCCCTTTTATTTTAAAGTGACATTTTGGTTTTTGTTTGTATAGAATTTATGTGTTGAAAATACAACCTTTTACTGTAGTCTTGAATTATTTTCCTTTGAAAGCGTTACTGTACCATTATGGAATTAAATATTCATTTTCATTTTTATTCACATTGGCCCTCACCATTAGTATCTCTACCTATAATTGACTGAATCTTACTTTCCATTCTGATGACACTTTAATAACTGACGATTTCCACTGTCACAGTTATCCCATCAAGCTCTATTTCTTTTCTCTTTTGCAAAATATTTCCTGTCTATACTTGTACTTTTTCCTCTCAACTGATTAGCTATATTGCAAGTTGGAAAAAATAATGCAGTTTAAATTTAATTTGAACCAAATATAATAGACTAATTAGGAGAAAGCAGATCTCTTTAAAATTGAGCCTCCCTATACAAATAGAAGGTGTGTATTCTTAGCAAAATTATTATTTTTAATATTGTGTATTGTACAGTATAGTTTTTTTTTTCATTCCATGGTATTTTATAGGTGAGCTAATTTAGTAACTGGGACCAGTAAGTGTATTTTAATTACTGATATGGAAGATAATGAATACTTTACTCTGCCTTTTTTTCATAAATTGATGCTTTTATTTCATAAATAATATAATAATATAATGAGAATGTATTCCATGTCTACAATTCTAGGAAAACCATACATTCTTCCCTTCTCACCTCTTCATTCAGGTCTCCTTCCTTCCATTCTTTTTTTAATTTTTTAATTTTTATAGTACCATTTCAATAACATTAGAATTACAGGCTAATGTACCACTAGCCGTAATGTTCAAGAAGTAGCAAAATAAGTAATGAGTAAAAGTAAATAGTCCTTGTCCTATACCCTACAGGAATATACTCCTCATCTATGGACAAGAAAGGACTTTAAGCAGTACATGTCATTTTTGTATTAGTCCCTATCTTTATTTCATGTTCACATCTAGTTAATTGCCTAAATAAGGAATTAGCTGACCCACACACCTTGTTTATATATGCAATTTTAATGTAGTTCTATTGGTCAATGATTTGCTATTATCTGTTTGAAAGAAATTGTCATGTGCCTCTAGGTTTGGATTTTTCCATAGGCTGTCTTTTATTTTCATAATCCATATATTTTCAAAGATTCTATAAAATGCCTGAATATTAGTGTTGTTAGGCACTGAAACTGAGGTTACCAATTTATGGAAAACATGCTTTTGAAACAATTTTGTATTCTCTTTCTTTTGCTTCGATTTTTCCATGTAATAATTAGTGCTGCAAATGTTTGTCATATTTATTTTACTTCAGCATCCATTAAGTCTGTAATAATTTCACGGTGTAAGATCACGATTTTAAATGTTTTTCTCTTTTTTTAAAAACTATTTATTTTTATGGGAAAGTCAAATTTACAGAGAGGAAGAGAGACAGAGAGGAAGATCTTCTAACCACTGATTCACTCCCTAAGCAGCCACAAAAGCCAAGAACCAGGAGCTTCTTCTGGGTCTCCCACACGGGTGCAGGGTCCCAAGGCTTTGGGCTGTCCTGAACTGCTTTCCAAGGCCACAAGCAGGGAGCTGAATGGGAGGTGGGTTTGCCAGGATTAGAACTGGCACCCATATGAGATCCCGGCATGTGCAAGGCAAGGACTTTAGCTGCTAGACTATCGTGCGGGACCTAAATTTTTCAATTCTATATTTTGGAATTCGGTTACATAAGGAAACACTTAGTTTTCCAAGTACTTATATCAATGTGAACTAAAAGACATTTTTCCTATGTATTAATTCATCAGTGTCATTAAATAACTATTTCAAGTTTTTCAAAATTATAGATTTAAATGTTAATTACTAGTGTATACTTTAGATAAAAGACAACAGCTGCACAGCTTCCTAACATGATTTGTGACCTAACTGCACATCCATTAATCTTATTTGCATTTCAAATTAATCTGCCATACATAAATCTGACAGGATGCACATTACAGCAGTTACAACGTGAGAAAGAGCAGCAATTCCAAGATAAAGCCTTTTGCCTGGGTTTGACCACTGCTAAGTGAGGAGCTGCCTTTTGAAATGTCTGCCTGCAAGATACTACATTTGCTTTTATAGCCAAATAGCAGATGAGAATCCTGTCACCTGAGTGCAGACTTCAGCTTTATCATCAGGGTTTCATCACTAGGAATGTTACTGTAAAAGTTTTATGTCTGCTTTTGTTATCCTCAACTATCCCTATAAGTCTCATCAAGTGGTACTGCACCTCTACACTAAAAAGATTTTTCAATGTAGTGAGAGGAAAAAAAAAATCAAATAGCATTTACTTTGGCTGGAGCTAACAGAAGGAATACAGTGATCCACACTTGCAGATTTAAATGCTTTGCAGGGTGGGTGTACATTGCTCAACAAAATTAATGACAAAACTAGAATGTGTGCAGAGGCCTCGTGATGAATTATGGGCACTGACTGCTAAGCTCTGAGATTTTATGGTAAGGAATTACAACGTGGTCAGTATATAAAATGAGTAAAACACATTACTCATAACCTGATGAGTCCTTTCGTGGAAATACAGTCATCAATATATGAGAGCCTTATGTGCTAGATGTTTTAAGAGTGTAATATATTTATTCCCTCCTACGAAATATAAACTGCATAACACAGAGGTAGCTCATTAGTTTTCATGGAACGGCTGAAATAACTTAACTGATGTTCTCATTCCAGTGGCCTCAGAAAAACATAGTAGTTTATTCTCACTCCAACACATCTTTCTCTAAATTCATACTGTGGCTTCAAGCCATGTGTAAGGGAGAAACTTTGTGATAGACATCGGGGGAATGACCATCAAAGTGGCTTCTCAGAAAACTCTAAGAAAGTACCTGTAACAGAAAACTGCACTCTACATTTTTAACCATAGGTAATCTTTTTTTTTTTTTAATCACAAAAGAGCATTTAAACCACTAAATCACCCAACAGATATTTACTGATCAGCCATTATTATTAGAAACATTTCCAGGCGCAGAGAATTCAGCAATGGTAGTACTTCATTCTGCTGGTAGTAATCGGCAAGAAACAAAAATCAAAAGCCTATCGATGTATGTGTATGTCTTCAGTGTCCAACAAGAAAACATACACTACAACAACATCTCAACACACAAGTCGTGGTCAAATACAGGCTCATTTCACTCACAGGAGGACTGATCTCATACAGCTCTTTGTTCTTGGCGATCGTGTCATTGATCTTCTTCTGCATGTGAGAGACGTGCTGCTCATAGGTGCCATCATTTGGAGTCTTCCCAGCAATCTGGATGCCACCAGGTGGGGGGAGAGCTGCCAGATACACACCTGTAGCAGACTGGTGAGAGCAACAGGAAGTGATCACAGTAACATACCAACAAGAGCTGGTCGGCTAGCATTCCTGTTTCGGGAGACAGTCATTTTTACCCAAAAAGAACAAAATGTTCACCAAAAACATGCACAGGCCATCTCTGGAAGGCAAGGACAGGTCAGACTGGAAACTGAGGCTGGCTACTTCAGGGCAAGACATCAGTAGCTTCGGGATAACCATAAAATGGGGGTAAACCTGGCTGTGTTCACCCAGTGCTAGTCTAACTCTTTATTGTAAAATAAATAAACAAATAAATAAAACACAGCTGAGCAAAACAACAAATAAAAACGTTGCTGAAAATAAATGTTTCTCAATAAGTAGATAATTTTCACAATGGCAAAAGTAGAAGGAAAACTTCTATAAGCAAGGTAAATAAAATTATTTAAGTTCGGAAAAGACACAAAATTTACTCAAGACCACAGTCAATAAATGTGGAGATCTGAGTTTACGTGATTCTCACTCTAAAGTTACCCTTCCTCCATATAACAAGAACAAAAAGCTTTAGACTATTTTCAATAATTAACTGACTATTAATTTCTCCTTCAGTTATGATACATTATTTATACCAGAAAATTTGGAGAAATTTGGGTTAAAACAAGCTAAATTCAGATTCCTATACTTATTTGTATTTAAATATGGAATTACAAGCAGGTTTAAAAACAGTAGACTCAACATCAAATTAACTTTAACAGGGTAGAAAAGGAGAGAAAAGACACTAACTCTGAATCATTTGAAATGTTACTGTCATTACACATGCCAGCATCTCTGGCAGCAGCTTTATCTGTTATGCCACTACGCCAGAACAGACGCTAGATTTTCTTTTCTTTCTTCCATTTTTCTTTGCTGTGGTTAACATTATGGACTAGCACGGAGGGAACAGGTGATGTTCTTAGAGTTTGACATGCTTTATTGCATCCTATGTGTTGTGTCGATGCAGATTCTATTTCATTATTTTGATATTCTTTTATGGTGAAAACACGGAGCCACGAAGATTTACAACTTTCCTACTATGTCTCTTTTAGTCTTTTCTTCATTTCTACTTCCTGGTCAGCTTTCCAGTCTCCTAGGATCACTGTGTGTGCCCAAGCAGTCTCCTCCCCTACTCTAAAGATGCCGTGATCCTAATCTCAGGAACCTGTTGATTTATACAACATGAGATTGTGAGATGGAGACTTTCCCCTGTGTTGACCAGATGGGCTCAGTGTAATTACAGGAGTCCTTCCTTACAAGAGTGAGTCATGGGCCTTGTAACTGCTTGGCCTAGCAGTTAAAGTCCTCACCTTGCACACATCAGGATCCGATACAGGCACTGGTTCTAATCCTGGTGGCCCCGCTGCCCATCCAGCTCCCTGCTTGTGGCCTGGGAAAGCAGTCCAGGATGGCCTAAAGCCTTGGGACCCTGCACCCTTGTGGGAGACCCGGAAGATGCTCCTGGCTCCTGGCTTTAGATTGGCTCAGCTCCAGCCATTGCGGCCACTTGGGGAGTGGATTATTGGATGAAGATCTTTCTCTCTGTCTTTCCTCCTCTCTGAATATCTGACTTTTCAATAAAAACAAATAAGTCTAAAAAAAATGGCAGGGACATATACCGAAATGCTGGCTAGTGAAGTGTTCAGAACAAGAGAGACTGCCAAAGTATTACTGATCAGATTTCACCCGATCAATAGACAAGTGCAGGTCCCTCATCCCCTGGGTCCCAGGCCTCTTGCAGAGGCTGTCCCAACTTTCCTGGTGGACATTTCTCTAGTCAGAACTTATTTTCCAACAGGCCGAGGCAGGCATGAAGCACAGACAGGGATTTTCCCTAACTTGTATTCTATCAGCAGTTTACGGAACACATTTTATTTCTCACACTACTGTTGGCCACAGAGGAACATGTACGGCGATGCTTAATTCTCTACTGAACTGTTTCCCATGTTTTGCTCTATCAGCTCCCTTAAAATTGAATTTTGTTTTACTACACGTTTCTCGCCCTGGAGTGACTGGGCTCTCGTAAGGAACATGTGGCAATATGAAGACTCTGCTTTTTACCACTGGAGGTATGTGGCTAAGCACCCAGTGAGTAAAGGCCAGGGATACTGCTGAGCAACCTGCAATGAGCAAGACAGCCCTGCACTGAAGAGCTATCCTGCCCCAGAGGCCAGCAGTGCCCAGGGACCCCTGCTTTGAGTGATTCATAAACAATCAGGAAACCCAGAGCAATGACAGCCATCTCACTGTGTAGCCTACACAGGAAAAATTTAGAAATGTGACCACTGAGGGGCTGGTGCTATGGGGTAGCACATTAAGCCATCGCCTGCAGCGCCAGCATCCCATTACACGGCACATCGATAAGAGGCCCAGCTGCTCCACCTGCAACGCAGTCCTCCGTTAATGTTCCTGGGAAAGCAACGAGAATGATCCCTGCACCAACATGGTAGACTCCAAAGAAGCTCCTGGCTCCTGGCTGCAGCCTGATTCACTTCCCACTGTGGTAGCCATCCGGGAAGTCAACAGCAGTTGGGAGATTTCTCCCTCAATCTGTAACTTGGCCTTTCAAATGAATGAAACTTAAGAAAAAGAAGAACAAGAAGTCGTCTAGGGCATAGACACACACAACAGGAACGAGACTACGGTCACAGTCCGCTGAAGTTTGCGAGGCCCAACATAGGATCTTGCTCTGCTTCAATGGTCCCCAACACTTAAAAGACTTAAACACCATTTTCTTTAGAGGAAATCTTTTTAGAAGGTTCTTTAAATCACATATAATAGAATTTCCTACAACTACAGAAAACAAAACAAAACACCTCAACTTACCGCTAAGCCCATCAACATATTTTCACCCACTGTGATCTGAATTCTCAGCCCAAACAAGGCGTTCATTCCTTTGAGTTTTAGCTTGTTCATCAGCTGGGTGTGCACTTCATACTCCATAAACGGCAGGAGATTACTGACAGCTGTGGCGTTCGCTTCGGCCTGTGCCTTCTTCTTTAAGCGACATAATCTGTTAAGGAGAGTAATTCAGTCAGTGCACAATATCCATCTAAGGAAATGCTTAATTCCTAACATTTTCAGAAAATGTTTCTTATATTTACATGTTTTAAGTATAAAATTAATCTCTTTTCCACTTTTGTCTCTGTGTAAATGTCACTAAGCTATATTTTAATAAACAATGGGCGTGCTTAAAAATCTGTATAAATGAAATAAATATTGACCCAAATCATCAGAGAAAATCTTGGGTTCCATAACTGCATGTGGTTAGAAACATACTTTTAAAGAACAACTGAACATGACTCTGCAATGAATATGGAAGGAGAGAAGGATAACCACGAAACAGTGTCAGAAACATCAAATTTGGCATGAGAAACTGGGTTGAGAAAGGTACCATTTATTAGAGCTGAAGGGGCTAACAAGAAAGCAACTCAGCTTGGAGTAAGCGCACAATGCCTGGGCTAGAACATCACGGCCAGTGAAGCAGAGAGGGACTAAGATCTAATGCTCTGAAGGAAGTTCTGGCCTCCCGCCACAAATGCAGGTGTCGCAGACCTGGAGAAGCTTAGAGATGCACAGGAGTTGATGACTAACCACACAGAGCTTTGCGACGGTCTCTGAACAGGACTCCACAGGGCAGCCCAAGACTACACACAGGCAGGGAAACACAAGGTACAACACTGTGGAATCCAGGACACTTCAAGAGAAGATGACCAGCTGTGTCATGCAGCTCCCGTTTTAGACAGCTACAGCTCTTTCCAGTGTGCCTACACAACTGAAGATATACTTCTCCAGAGTGTTTCAGAAGGAACTACTTTTTCTTTTGACTTATAAAATCATTTATTTATTTCCATTTATTTCAAAGGCAGAGAGCCATACATAGGAGAGGAGAAAGAAAGATTGATCTTCCATGTCCTTGTTCACTCCCCACAGGCCTGCAGAATGCCAAGCCAAGCCCAGTTGAAGCTAGGAGCTAGGAGCTCAGTCCGAGACTCCCACACACATGGCAGGGACCCAGGCACCTGAGTCACTGAACCATCACCTGCTGTTACCCAGAGTGTGCACTAGATGAGAGACAGGAGCAGGAGTGGAGCTGGAACTTCAAATGGGGTGGGCAACTGGCACAAGGGTTAAGATGCTGCTAGGGACACCTCTGTACAAGTTGTGCCTCTTCTGCAGGCACTAATAGGCACCCCAGGAGGCAGCAGCAGCTAATGGCTCCCATACGTGGGTCCCTGCCACGTGGGAAAACTGAAACATTATCCTACCCATCCTCTTCCACACCTAGACCTTCCCCACCCTGATCTGGGGCCCACATAGGTATGCGCTCCTCCCAACTTCGTAAACTATATTTTTTCCAAGTTAACATTCAGTCAAATTCCTAGCCTAGCCCTTAGGGGGCAGTGATGTTGCACAACAGAAAAGACACTGCCTATATTGTTAGCATCCCATATGGTCGACAGCTCAAATTCCAGCTGTTCTACTTCCAGTTCAGTTCCCTGCTAAGGCATCTGAGAAAGAAGGCTCAAGTATCTACACTGATGTCACTTATGTGGGAGACCCAGCCAGCGTCCTGGCCACTGTGCTCATGTGGGGAGTGAACCAGTATGGAAGATCTTTCTTTCCTCTGTCTCTATTACCCTGTCTTTCCAACAAATCTTTAAGAATAAAAGGAACTCCCTAGCCCATAGCAGGTTAATTAATCATCTGCATAATAATAAATATTCAAATTTAAATTCTTACAATTTGCTTTTGCATATAAACTTACTTGAACTGTATGCCAAGAATATTTTAATTCCAATTTTTGCATGCAATAAAATACAAGGTTGGGAGATAAGTGCCCAGCTTGGCTATAATCAAACAGGTTTATGATTCTACATTTCATACTTTTTTTGGAATATTAGATACTGCCTTCACAGACATACCTTGCTTGAATGAGACAACCTTTTCCAATAACAGCTGCATCTGTTGGGAGGTCTATAGTGGTAAACAGAACATCAGGAACTTTTTGTTTCCTGCAGTTATAGCAATATGTGAGATGAGCTGGAAATGGCATATTCAGTTCATCATATGGTATATGGCAAAATCCACAGCCAACAGGCAAATTTTCTTCAAGCCTATATAAACACATTAAGGAAAAAACATACAGCATTCTTGAATAATCTACTGATTTTTTTTCAAAAACATGTACATGTATAGTACTGATGCATAAACTGTATAATTCTACCACAATAGGCTATAAGAGTAACACTCTGATCAATAAGAATGATAAATGACCCTGATATCAGAACTTCACATTTTTCCTATAAGACAAACAGCTACTACAAGGAGACCATTATCAGCAATGATTCTTTGAGGCTTTACACCTGACAGATTGCTACTGTCTCAAAGCTTTTATTCTGAAAGGTATGAAAAAACAGTTGGATGATACAGATATCATTTGCCTACCAGCTGACAAATATAACCACAGAAAAATGCCTAAGAGAAAAAAAATGGCTTAACCAATCTAAAAATTGGGGGGGGAGGGAATTAGCATAAAAATTAAAACAATACAAGTTAAAATAGACCCACTATAAAATTTATTTCCCAATGAGTAGTTGAGCATTTCTGAAAAGGTAAAATGTTTGCTTCCTAAATGATGTACAAATCATAGACACCACAATGAAACACCCAAATCCACTGTGACACACATGTTGCTATGCGCTGCCTGTGACTTCATCTTACAATGATTAAACTATTTCTCATTCATGAAGTTTGATAAAATCAAGACAACAGGAATAAAAACAGACTGAATCTTTAAATTGAACTTCAGCCTTTCATAACATCATATCTAGAGTCTAGAAAGACATGTATCTTACCTATCCCTAATCTAAAGCAACACTTCCTCAGTTGAAACTTTGGGCTAGGCTGCTTGATTACATTCCCCTAAGGATGTCTGAGTTCAGTATTTTAGCTCAGCTCTGGGCCTGGTTCCTGAACCCAGCTTCCGGCTACCACAGGAGCTGGGAAGTCTCGGGCCTGGCTCAGGGGACAGGGAGGCTGCCATCCACACAGGCCATCAGATTCAGTTTCTTGCTCTTGACTTGGCCTCAGCCCAGACCAGGGTCACTGTAGGCAGCTGGGTAGTAAGCTAGTAAGCAGGTTACTCTTTATCAAGTACATACTTTGTGATCTTATGATTCTTTAATTGGTTGGAAATAATTTATAGAATCTTCTCTCTGTTGCCAGCATTACAAGACACAGCACTGCACAACACAGTTCTGATTTCTGCATTGTTCTACCATGAGCCACCCACACAGAGAACTACCCGAACTCCGAGAAAGGAAGAAAGGTCAATCTCTCCCTCCCTACGGAAAAAAGCCAGGCCGCCATGATAACCTTTGTTCCAAACAGCCCTCCACGGTGCCCTCCTGCAGAAAGCGGGGGTTCAGCACGGCCGCCGTCCCAGAAGCAGATAAAATACAGACCTCTTCACTGTAAAAGAAAAAACACAAACACCCATCACTGGTCAAGGAAACTTAGGAAAACACTAAATATAAAAATTATTACAAGAATGACAATTGAAGGTCGAGCTATTAACTTGTAGATGATATCATCAGATTACCTCCTAAACTTAGGATACAAAACAGAAGGACTTATTAGAATGGCTGAGGTAAGAATTCTTTATAATTAAAAAAGAAATAGTATTACTGACCATAGCTTGTTTTGTGAGATAGTAAGTCTGAAAGATGAGAATGCTTCCAAACATAAGCAATACTGAACTACACTGTTGAATCTAACAACAATTCTATACTAAAATACTCTTTAAATGATGTACAACTTATTGAAATCACTTTGGGGTGAATGTTCATTTTGCAGTTAAGCTATCCTTGTCCCCTATCAGAACACGTGGGTTTGATGCTTTGCAGCTCCAGCCCCTGGCTCTTGGCTTCCACACAAGGCCGACTCCAGGAGGAAACAGGGATGCTGCAGCAGCCGGTTCCAGCCAGCCCCAGTGGAGAAGGGACTGAGTTCCTAACTCCTGACTCTCGGCTTCTGGTTGGCCCAAGCCTGGTTTCTGTGGGCATCAGAGGAGAGGTCCAGCAGATGGCTGTGCCCTCTTTTTCTTTCTATCTCGCCCTGCCTCTCAAATAGCACATTAAAAAGACATAATTCTTACAAGGTATAACTATACTAATATGTGTACTGCTGTGGTTTAATTAAAATTTAAATAAATTCTTAAAAGACTGTCCCAGCTTTTCCACTTCTGATGCAGCTTTCTTTGGGCCTGGAAAATTAGCAGATGATGGCCCAAGTCCCCGGCTCTCTGAACTTGCATGGGAGACCCAGAGAGGGTCCAACTGGAAGCCCAAAAACTCTGAACAGCCTTGCTATTACATGTGATCATCCAAGGCAAATGAGAAATACAGCAGCCTAGGGTGAAATGCTAGAAACAAGATGTGCACGGCACAGAGAGGCTTAAGAGGAGATGAAGGAAAAGTCGTTTGGACTGTAAGTGAGCAGCCAGGCTTTTTATAAGGTAGTCACGCACAGAAGAAGTCCTAAGGAATAAAGCATTGCCACTGGGCGTTTCAGAACCAAGGAGTTCTAAAATTAGAAACAAATGTCAAAAGGATGAATCCACTAAGTGGACTGGATGGAAGACAGTAAAGGACATAAATACAAACATTTTTGATAGGATTTAAATACAAAATTTTGAGGTCTAGAAAGGGAAAAAATAGTTTCTGACAGTTGAATTTAAACTTCTAAGTATACTAATAGGACTAATTTGTAAATTTTGCAACTGGCACGTGTCCCCAGCTTGCTGAGGATACAGCAAAGCCTCTGACATCTCACCTTACGCTTCTTATCTTTGAACCCCAACCCCATACTGCTTCTCTTGGCTTTGGGGATCCATATCACCCTCCAAGATTCAATTAAAGCACAGTTACTCCAGTGGCACCTTGTAACAATCCTGTTTCCCACCTCAGCCCTCTGGAATCCAAAAGCAGGATGAAGTATATAAATCATACATCTACTATATTTGTCATAATTCTCCAGTAGAATGCCAATCTATTGGCAGCAAGAATTGTACTCTTTAATACTGGTATCTGTAAAACTGGAAAGTGTGTGAGACTAAATCCATGAGGGAGGCAAGATGACCTATTGGGGAGGAACAGGCAGATAATAAGCTAGGATAATAAGCATAAAAAAGGAAGCAGTTAACATGAATGGGACAGCTACCATGGAGCTAGAACAGCACAAAGACGTAATACATGGCAGGCAAACGAGTAGGGCTAAAATAAATTAGTTGGTTCTTTAAGACCCATTTACTCTATTCTAATCATTTCTCCCCAACAAAAATGATTATCTCTAGAGCAGAAAAGCAAAAGTAGTATTTAAGGGTGCCAAAACAGCCAGCAAATCTACTAAAGAACTGGGAAAATGCTTGGTTAAGTGTCAAGGCCAAGCATTTGTTGCAGTTAACATGCCACTTAAGACAACTCATGTAAGTGTGGTGGATTTGCCCAGCTACTTGGCTTCTGATCCACCTTCCTGCTAAAGCAGATCCTAGGTGTTAGCAGGAAGAAGATAGCTCAGATATTTGGGTCCTGAACACCTATTCAGGAGACCAGAAGGAGTTCCTGACTTCTGGCTTCAGCTTGGCCCAGTCCTGGTTGCTACTGGCATTTGGGGAGTGGACTAGCAAATGCACAATCTCTTTGTGTCTCTTTTCCTTTAAATTAAAATTAAAAATACAAAGGTCAAAAAAAATTAAGTGGAAATGAGAAAACTGGTGGAAAACATTATGTTATATTCTAAGAATAAAATTTTGCAGTACAAGTGGGATAGCTTGTGGCCATAATGAACATGGCTACAGGTCAAGCGGAGACAGAGGATTTTGAGGTACTACATTGTCAGGTGCAACTTGAGGAGAGAGCAGGGACGTTATGAAGAAAGGTGGGAAAACCTTTGGAAGCTGGAGGAGTCTGAACACTAGGATGGCATGGCTCTAAAGCAGGAGCTAGGCTGTCCAAAGTTAACAAGGAGAAGGAACCTAGGGTCAGGAGGAAGGAGGCCCTTTCACAGCATGGTCAAGTAAGGAGGGATGATCTGCTGGCAGGAAACAGGATAAGTGAACAATCTGTCTATCTGGCAGTTCATTTCCAACAGAGCAAGCAAGAATTCCGAAGTTTCCAGTGCAGGGACCCAGCAGTGCCACAAACTCCAGCGAGACAGGCCTACAGTTAACACTTGGGAGGTGCTAGAATAATGTCTTCTTTCAGTCACTGAAAACCTTACAGAATGGAGGTTAGAGTAACTGAGCAACTTTCCCAAAGTGTCACAATGTTTAAGTGGCAAACATAACACATGATACTTAACCCTAATCACTTCCTTAGTCTTTTTCCTATATGCTGACATAAAGCTCTTGCTCATTCCACTGACAATATAAACTATGCACCCAGAAAATCGAGCTGCTATTTACCAGATGCTAGTGGATTCACTGTAGCCCACCACGGCATGACAGCCTAACGCTTTAGCATGCGATTTGATTTCTTGTCTGATCTCTGCCCACCATGCATCTCGAGTTTCTGGTTCATCTGAAAAATAGATTTCAAATCAGTTCACTACTCAACAGCATATTGATACAAATAGGAAATGTTTAAAATAAACATACTAGGGGATATTTTTTAAAAAGTGTTCTATAACAGATTTTTAAATCTCACATCTTTTAAACACTATGTCTTAAAAAAGCGTAAAATTTAATATTTGAAACTCGATCACTAAAATTAAACCACCAAGCTCTATCTGCTTCATTTCTTTAAGTAATACCCACAAAAATGTATCTTAGTAGATACAACTTAGAGTGTGGATGAGAGTTTTGGATTCTGATCTTGATTAGGAGGATAACCTGTCTCTCATCGGAGTGACACCTTGTGTGTCATATGCATAAATTTAAGTTCTGATTTCACACCCTGGTGCCTAATTTTTAGTCAAATACTACTTTTGAGGTTCTTTTCAAGGCAAAGATTTGTCAACATTAAAAGAGAGGAAGCCATCTGTAGCCAGTATCTGTAGAGATGATATTCTTAAAACAGTTACAAGAAATCAAGGGACTTGAGAATCAGAACAACAACAACAACAAAAAAAAGATAAGAAGCAAATACACTTAAAAGATAAATACTAACAATTTGGTTAATGCATATAAGGATAACTTTCAGGCAGAACATTATAAATTCCATATATGGTTTTGTAATTAAAAAACAAAATAAGGCTCAGACCCAAAAAATCAGGGCAGCCCCAGAGTTTCTATCATGAAACATGGGCCTCACTCACGGGCCTCACTCACGGGCCTCACTCGCTCCTAACTGCAAACTATAGTAGCTTTTTAATCAAAGATGTTAAAAGTAAAACAGTTACTAATTTGTTTCTTTTCTGGTCAACTCTTGTTTGTGAATAATCTGAAACACCAAACTACTTAAACAACTTTCAACAGGAAGCTATTTACATCAAACTTTCAACAGAACTGCAAATTTTCCACATAATGATTAATACTAAAACTGAAAAACAGTCTAGATACTTTCTATTTTTAAACTGAAGAATTCTCAAGAAATATTTTTCAAAGAAGTAGAAAAAGTAGAATTATACTCACTAGTAAAATAGTGAAGACAGCAAAGTAAATACAGATTTAGAGGCTTAGCATATTCACATTTCTGTGATAGGATTTTGTCTCCTCCCACAGGAGGACCTCAGCAAGGGAGTAAATGAGATCAAAGCCACTACAAATGATGTCAGGCAGTTCTTGAATTAAAGCTTTGAATCCAAGATAGGACTACCCTAAAATTTTATTTCATAAGAAAATTAAAAAAAAAATGCAGATTTCAGAACACTGAGGAAAAAGCCAAAGTGTAAGATTTTAAAAAAAAGAAAAAAACAAGGAATAGAAAAGCCTACAATATGGTGTGAACAATCAGTATTACGAATTAAGAAATATGTAAAACAATGAAATGACCTTATTTTGCACATATTTATATATACTGAATTACATAACTTCTTCATATTGCTAGCTGAAATGTTTATTTAACAGCAAAAATATGCTTTAAAATCTATTCTCTTTCCCTTCTAAAACAGACAAGCTTCGTAATTCAGTTTGTACATGCATTAACATAATCACAGCCTAAAGGGATTTGTCAATCCTAAATCAAGCTATTATTCAGGCAAGAATTCTAATCAATTATTATGCTTGACAGAAAGCAAAACATCCTGAATAAGAAATGCATTTCAGCTTAGAAAAATAATTATTTTCCTAAGAAAACTCCATGAAAGTTTTTTTTTTTTCTTAAACTAGATCTGCTACTTACTTTTTAAAACCTGAAAGTTTAAAATATTATTTTCTAGAGCAAATAACTGTATTTTTTTTTTTAGGAATAGATTTTCTCACATTAGGGTTGCCTATTAGCTGTGCCATTGGTAAAGATATGACAGCTTTTTTGAGAAATTAATTTTACAAGAAATGATCTATAATATTGCTTTAACAGCCAAGAAAAATGAAGGTGGCTATTAATTTTAAGTTGGAAACACATTTACTAGAAATGGCCAGCATGTCTTAATGGAAAAATATGTAAGTGGTGTAATTCCTGTGAGATACATGTAACCACAGAGCAAACAAAGTATATTTACATCAAACTTACCTTAGTATGACACACAAAATAATTAGATAATTAAACCAAACACTATGAAAGAGTAAGTGGCTGATTAAAGAAAAAAAAAACAACAACAAAAAACAAGAAGCTGAATGCAGCGCAAGTGGAGCATTCATACTCTTCTGACAAATTCACAAGCAGCCTTTATTTCGACACATGAGCCACACAACTGCGCATGAGGATGCCATCGCTGTATTTCATAAACTATGTACAATTGTGATCAAAAGCTAACAAGAGTTACATAACATGGGAGCTTGGGAAGCAAAACGGCGTATGTCCACACTCCAGAGTAGTTCTTCAATTTTGGTTTTTTTTTGGTTACAGCAAAAGCTCAAGGAACAGAGGGTTTGCAAAGCAGATTCAGCATACAGGAGCCAGAAACAGTGGATATTTGGGCGCATGCTTGGATCAGGTGACAGTACGGACCGAAAACTATGGCAGCTCACTGAAATGGTCACAGAAAGGAATGGCCCTGGAGCTAGGTGACAGCCGGCAAGCATACAGTGGGGAGCAGTTCATCACACACTAGTGATTGTACTAGCACTAATCATCTCAGCTCTAGAAACGAGGTCAAAGGACGCGCTCTCTAAGTCATATATATACACGTATTTATTTTTTATTTCTGGACTATTAAATTTAAGGTCTTCTGGATTAAAATTAAACTATTTATTACTACAGAAAAGTTAAATTTATCTTCAAAGCCTATATTACACTCGTGCTAAAGGTAAGCTACAGAATTTTCAGCCTAATTTATTACCAACAAAAACTCAGAAATATAGAATTTGAGCTCTGCAATACAATTTTTAGAAGTTTAAAACTGCTATTACATTTCTATGCGAGACTAGTGAATCTGAATTGTATTACTCACTATATGATACACACAAAATTGAGGTTCTATCATAGTTTTTAAAAAGGCAAAAGAGACTAGCTCAAAAAATGATGGCAATTGCACCTGCTACACATTAAATTTAGTTCTTTGAAAGATATACAGCTGAGATGTGAGATCACATTTAATAAGATGTCATAGATGTCTAGAAAGGAAAAAAAAAAAAAAACCTCCTCACTTTAAATACTATGCTCCTTCCAGTAATCACAAAGATATCAGTCATTTAAAGAGAACTTAAAAGTTAATTATTATGGGCCCATTAACCTAGAGTCCTTGGGCAACCTAAAGTCCTTGCCTTGCATGCACTGAGATCCCATCTGGGCATAGGTTTGTGACCTGACTGCTCCACTTCCCTTCCAGCTCCCTGCTTGTGGCCTGGGAAAGCAGTCGAGGACGGTCCAAAGCCTTGGGATCCTACACCTGCTTAGCAGTCCTGGAAATCCTGGCTCCTGACTTCAGATCGGCTCAGCCCTAGCCACTGTGGCCACTCGGGGAGTGAGCCTGCGGATGGAACTTCTTTCTATCTCTCCTTCTCTCTGTGAATTTGACTTTCCAACAAAAACAAATAAATCTTTTAAAAAGTTAAGTGCTATACAAGCTACATTTCATATTATTTTGCTTTTCTTCTACAGGTCAAAAACTGTGCATATATGATATCACTAATCTTTTTTTACTGTAGGCATGAACAGAACTCTAAATATTTCATTGAAGCCTCCTTCAGGGCTAATGCTGGCACATATGGGTTGACATCAGAATTAATTCACTTGTACTACACTGCTACCTTCCTAGAGCATGGCCACAGCTTGATGTCATGCCATCTGCTTATTATTTTATCATGCTTGTGAAGTGCAGGTGGAATTGGTAAAGACTTCTAAAATAAAACTCTATCTCTCAGAAAGTAAAGAAATGAACAAATCAACAAATACTGCTTTATGAACTCAATCACACACTTCTATTGTTACAAAGCTCTTGGAGACAACTCAGACCTGGAAAACCTTTTAACTTCCTTAAATGAAAAAAAAAAAAAAAAAGGAAATGGCCTTTCAATCTAATTTATAAGTGAACAAGAGGAGATAAAGTGTTAAGCTGGAACAAATAAAAGTTCCTAATACAGCAATGATCTTATTACTAGACACCATGGAAATCTATGTTCCTAAATACCTGAAAACAGTTTTCAGAAAGGGTAACTCCTGAATATTTTTTACCGACTTCCTAGATTATTTAAGTATTGAGAATCAAAAGCTGCTTAACTACTTTAGACTTAATCTCCGTACATCTGCTCAGAAGTTACTTCTCAGATAAAGTGAAAAGAATAACTGTTGAGAAGATCAGAATTCAAATCCAAGAATGCCCATCAGCTCACTCCACTTAACTAATACTCACATAATACAGTACACATTTCAACTGGAAGAACTGGGTTAGATTATTTGCATCAACAGATGTCTGTCTTACTTCAGAATGTGTATTCCTTTTAGTACCCAACATGGCAGACATTTCACAAACATCCATTAGACAAAAAAATTTCTAATTTGGGTCTGGCATGATGGCCCAATTGGTTAACCCTTCCCTCGCAAGTGCTGGGATCCCATATGGCTGCTGGTTTGTGTCTCAGCTGCTCTACTTCCCATCCAGCTCCCTGCTTGTGGCCTGGGAAAGCAGTCGAGGATGGCCTAAAGCCTTGGGACCCTGCACCCATGTGGGAGCCAGTGGCTCCTGGTTTCGGAACAACTCAGCACTGGTTGTTATGGACCTCTGGGGAGTGAATCCGGTAAAAGAAGATGCTTCTCTGCCTCTTCTCCTCTCTGTAAATCTGACTTTCCAATAAAAATAAATTCTTAAGACAAAAATTTTCTACTTAAATAAAATATAGGGCCCGACGCGGTGGCGCAGTGGTTAAGGTCCTCACCTTGCACGCCCGGGATCCCATATGGGCGCCGGTTCTATCCTGGCAGCCCCGCTTCCCTTCCAGCTCCCTGCCTGTGGCCCGGGAAAGCAGTCGAGGACAGCCCAAAGCTTTGGGACCCTGCACCTGCGCGGGAGACCCGGAAGAGGCTCCTGGCTTCGGATCGGCATAGTATCGGCCCATTGTGCTCACTTGGGGAGTGAATCATCGGACGGAAGATCTTCCTCTCTGTCTCTCCTCTCTGTATATCCGCCTTTCCAATAAAAAATAAAATAAATCTTTATAAAAATAATAATAATAAATAAAATATAAATAGGGGATTATACCAAGCACTGAGGCACAGCATTTTAAGCTGCTGGCATCCCAAGTGGATACTAGATTTCCAAGCCCAGCTGTTCCACTTCTAATCCAAGTCCCTGCTAGTGTGCCTGGGAAAGCAGTAGAAGATGCCCCAAGTGTTTGGCTCTTGAACACACGTAGGAGACCAGACAAAGGTCCCGGATCCTGGCTTCAGCCTGGCCCAGTCCTGACCATGTGGGAAATGAAACAGTAGATAAAGCTTTCTGTCTCTCCTGACTTTCAAATAACTAAAAATGAATCTTGCCTCTTCACTAGTAAAAGTTTACTACAGGACAGTAAAAAGTCTTAGGACCGGGCCCGGCGCGGTGGCGCAAGTGGTTAAAGGTCCTCGCCTTGCACACCCGGGATCCCATATGGGCGCCGGTTCTAATCCCGGCAGCCCCGCTTCCCTTCCAGCTCCCTGCCTGTGGCCTGGGAAAGCAGTCGAGGACGGCCCAAAGCTTTGGGACCCTGTGCCCGCGTGGGAGACCCGGAAGAGGCTCCTGGCTTCGGATCGGCATAGTATCGGCCCATTGTGCTCACTTGGGGAGTGAATCATCGGACGGAAGATCTTCCTCTCTGTCTCTCCTCTCTCTGTATATCCGCCTTTCCAATGAAAAGATAATAAAAAAATAAATCTTTAAAAAGTCTTAGGACCAATACATCCTAAAATCCTCGATCTATGTAAAATGTACTGTTAAAAACATTAAGAAATATTCTCTAAAATAAGAGATAGCTAGTTTTTAATAACATTTTATTTAAGGACGTTTAAGTATTTAAAACATCAAGTCCAAAATATCTAAATGTGGAAGCTATTTCAAACTAATATATATCTTCAACCCACAGTATATGGCTACTTTATACTTCCTCTTGCCACTTTCTGAAAAATTACCTAAATCGCCATGCCTCTTAAACAGTAAGAAAATAACAAATTTTTCTCCACTATATGAAGACCATGGCTGATCAACATGTTCATGTAAAAAGTAATCAAAAATATGTTTAGAGCTAATTTAGGAGGAAAAAATCCATTTGAGAAATATTGAGCTTAGACTATTAAAATAATTCTTTGAATAGTTTTTACAGCTTTCAAAAACCCATTTGAGTATCCAAACAGTAGCACTCAACAGCTCACTGAAACTTTAGATTTGAAAGTAATAAGGTATTCTCTGAGAGATCCTGCTGATTTTAAACTCAAATAGTTCGTTAATTTACGATTAAACCCAGAATACTAAAGCTTCAACTGTGGTTCAGCCACTTTCTATTCACCTTGAGAAAACTGCTCTGATAGTTTTGCTAAGCTACAAAATGGGATTAGTGCCTCACTCAGGATTTGTTGAGGGGATTAAAGAACCTTGTATGAAAAAGTACTTACAGAGAACCTGCCACTGGGTGGCGCTCGGTAGTTATCCCTTCTATCACCACCAAATCCTAGACCACAGCTAACTGGTCTCTGTGTCTCTCCTTGCTGCCCTTAAATCCATTCCAGGGATAATATGTGAGTGAAGCTGGCTCTTGGGATGGTTGCACCCCACACAGGATTGTGCGGCTCACACCTCAACTCTCCTTTGCTTCCGATCCAGCTTCCTGCTAACGAGCAGCAGGTAAAATCCAAGTACTTGGACTCCTATCATCCAGGTTCCTGGCTTCTGGCTTCAGCTAAGGTCAGTGTCGGCTCTTGAAGGCATTTGGGAAATGACCCAGCAGAGAGAAGACCTCTCCACTCTCTTACCACTCGGCCTTTCAAATAAATAAATCATCCTTTAAAAACAAATGATGAATTCATCCTGCACCCTGTAATCAATGACTGATGCAAATGTGATTCCAGGCTACCCCATGGTATTTGCGTGCACTCCCTTGCCTAGCATGCCACAAACAAGATCTGCAAGTGCCGCAGTCTCCTTCCTTCCCAGCAGCAAGATTGACCCCCATCTTTCTCAAAACCTGATATCAAACCAGAAAACGCAAGCAGCAAGATAAGCATGGGTACTATTTTTAACCTAAGTTCTCCCATACGGGTTCCCTCTCTCCTGCTCTAAACTTGTTTTCTACCACTGCAAACTGAATGCAGTAGACAGGTGGAGAAAAAGAAGCTGAACTAACTCGGACACTCCGTACCGTGTGGCAAATAACTTACAAAGTTGGAGGCAACCACATAAACATCATCAGAGGATAAAAAGCTGCGAGTTTCAGAACCACACTACCCATGAACCCAAACCTTACCGTACGCTGTCTGACACATGTAAGTCAACATGATTCTCCAATATTTCTTTAACTCTGAACTGCATAAAATTCCCTGACAAAGTCAATCACGTCCTGATCTTCATCTCTGCTCACACATCACCCTCCACAGTAAGCCACTCAATGAGCCTCTAGCCTTCAAGAGCGAGACGTTCACGGATTCGGGGACTTGTCAGGTTAGAACGCTGTGAACCAACACGGTGACGCTTGTTCACAACTGTGTGTCTCTCCCTTCCTCCTGCTAACTCTGCCATTTAAATAAATCAATAATTCTTTAAAAATTATTATTCCTTAATGTGCTCTCAACACCCTTTTTCTACATGGCCTTCTGCTGTCCCCACTAGGCTAATCTGCCCATAGTTTTAAAAACATATTCTAACTTTATGAAAGAATCCAGCAGGGCATGTTTGCATTTTTTTTTACCATAAAGAAATAATAAGGAGCCAGTGGTTAGGCCTCATCAACTCATATGTGAGACCCCACAGAGGCCCGATCTCCTGGATTTGGCCTGGCCCAGCCCTGGCTGTTTAGGTAATGTATCTCTCACTCCACCTCTTTCCACAACTGGATTTCATATAAATAGATTTTTTTAAGGCAATGATAAAAAAAAACTATGCTAAAAATGACCATTTTAATTCTAATCAATGAGAGCATGCTGGTAAACTTTGGTACATAGGGGTAATGACCTAAAGAAGACCCGACTGATCCCACACTCCACCTGCAAACGCTGGGCCTGAACTGAGGTATCTCCACAGTAAGAGAAGCACTGTGTCATCAAGCATGCGTAACTCACTTCAGAACTTATATCCTAGGCTTTTAAAAGCAATATATTTGTGGCAATCGTAAGATTATGAGATACTGTCTAAAATGCGGAGTCCTTTGGTGTCTTTGTTTTTCTGTAATATACTTTCTGATACAAAGAACTGAAGTTTTGGGGCCAGTACGGTGGCACAGCAAACTAACCCTCTGCCCGTGCGGTGCCAGCATCCCTTATGAGTGCCATTTTGTGAACCAACAAGCTTCACTGTGTTGGTTCACTTCTGATTCAGCTTCCTGCTAATGGCCTGGAGAAGCAAGGGAGGATGGCCCTGGGACACTGCACCCAAGTGGGAGATCCGAAGAAGTTCCTGGTTCCTGCGACCTGCCTTCAGATCACCTCAGCTCTGGTTGTAGCCATATGGGGAGTGAACCAGCAGACAGAAAACCTTCTCTCTTCTATCTCTCCTTCCCTCTCTAAAATCTGCCTTTCAAATAAAAATAAATCACTCTTTTTTAAAAAGAAAAGAAAACCGTGAAGTTTCTTGAAGCAAAAATCAGCTTCAGATACTCAAATTGGTTCTATTATTTAATTTAAAACAAAGGCTATTTAAAATTTAAGTACTTTTACTTTCTAAATATACCTTCATCAAAATGAAAAATTTGACCTTGTGTCTAAACCACATCATCAGCTGTAATGTTCTCTACTTTGTGTCTTTTCAAAATGCAAACTCTATCCACATGTAGAATCATTGAGAAAAATTACATTTTCACATGTAAAGGTAAGAAGGAAGGCATTTAATCTGCAAAAAAAAAATGCTTTTACTAAATTTTAGAACACTTCTAGAATTATAAAAATCGAACAATTACACCTAGTTTTTTATAGCGCACAAAGTATTTTCTATTGAAATCTAAATATCAGCTGAACTGTAAGAATTCTCAAGCTAGTCATTAAATATGTATAATTAGCAATGTTTGCTTGATCAAAAAGCTAATGCCCATGTTAGCTACATATGAAAAAAACTGCCCTGAATGTACTAAATTTAAAGTTATCATCCTGAAAATTTTATCACCTAAAAAAAGTAACTCACAAATCAATGATATTTCTATGGTTTTGACTAATTGAACATGTTTATTGCATTTCCATGGAAATCATGTTATTAAACATATTATAGAACGTGTCTGTATAGCTGCATTAAGCCTATTTAGTCTAGAACATTTCTAAAAACTTCACTGAGCTGCCATAATTTCTGTCAGCATATGTAGTACTGAATGACCATTAAAATACCTGAATTGAAACTATTCCAGTCTAGTAGTTTGTAAGATCTTGTGTTACCCATAATTCCGACAAAGGCTGAGTTCAAAACAGCAAATTAGTAGATCAGTTTTAGGTGCAGAATAGTAGGAATAAAACAAACAAACAAAAAAACACTATAAACAAGAACACAATTGACAACATTACTCAACAGGAACTGGAAAGACACAGACAGCAGAGTTAATAAGAAGTAGAAACAGAAAGGAAATAGAGGCAGGCCATAGGACTCTACCATTATCCAGGCTAGTTCTCCATTCATGACCTTTAAAAGCCACCCCCATTCTTTCCCTTGTTGTAGGCTCCTGTTTGTTAAACATTTAATACAGGAGGAAGTTCTAAACAAACAAACTCAAATAATAATCCATAAAGTTAGCAGGTAATCCTGATTGGATAGTAAATTTATATGTCCTTTTGTACTGAGGGTGAAGTAAAAATTCTTCAATCCATTAACTGAAAACACAGCTGCAAGATTCATTTGAGAATGCAAACACAGAACTTTTAATATCAGTACATGCATCTCAACGCGTCACAAAAGTAAACACTTCATTATGGAAAATGTTTGATTCACTTTATGTCAACATTCAGCTTTTTTTTAAACAAATCTAAATTTTTATACTGATTTAAGGGGTTTTGAGGTTAATAAATGCTCTTAAGAAAATCCTTCTTTTTAGTTAATACTATATACATATAACAACCCAAAAATGGGAATCTTTTATATCAAATGAGTGTAATATTAGAACTATTATACCATTGATATGTCTTTAACTGAAAAGGAAAAAAAATATATTTATATTTATAAACATCGACAGCATTTATATCTGCTCATAACCACTTGGGAAGTAATTTATTCATAAGAGCTTTTTTTACATGTGAACAAAAAAATATTCTGAAAGGAAAAGAAAAGGAGAAAATGGGTAGTTCTGGTAGCTACAAGATATGGAATACACCCTATAATAAGGACTCTGATTTTTCCCTGGACCTGGATCCCTACATTTGTTTCACACAATTAGAATAAACTGGCAGGTATGATAAATCCCCAAAAGAGGCTCTTTAGATAAAAACCGGGGACACCTGAAATATAACTGTATGCTTAAAAATGTAAGCAACCTCCACTTGTTCTCCTGGGCTCTGCTACTTAGAGTACCTGTAAGTCACAAGATAAAAGCCAGGCATTTTCAGTCAACAGAGGCATCACCAATACCTGAAATTATTTTTGCAGCTATCATGCCAGTTGATGCCATTTCTTAAAATATAATGAGTCAAGGGTTCAGAGAAATACAGATGATCTGCCTTGGGTCTGAGAGACAAGGTGAGGTACTGTTACCTCACTACCTGCTTGTACATTATAAAGAATTTAAGTTAGTAAACACCAAGATGTCAAACTTGGCATAGCCTACAAGATGTCAGTGCATTATATTAGCAGAAGTCTCAAATTTTCTTTACTTACTATAGACCATGTAAGCATAATAAAGAAAGGATCTTCAATTGACCAGAATAGCAAGAAACAAGGACCAAAGCTAAAGACTGAAAGAGAATGCCAATGCTTGCAGCATACTTGTTTAGCTTTCCGAGTTTATATACTCCTGGCTAGCCTTCCTTTATCTGAAGCCCGATTCAGTGTGCAACATTCCATTTTGCTTCCATGTAGTTAACTCAAATGGCATCAAACCATAGAGAACAGGTTAAGCTTCTTTTTTTTTTAATTTAAAGGGATGTTCATTAACCTTCTGATGTCTATCTTAAGTCACTACACAATGTCTTCTTTTCATAACTCTTTATATCTGCTAATATAAGCCTCAAGAAGAGGTAACTGGATGACAAAGTAAGATATTAATATAATTTCTGGTTTAAGGGATGTCATCAAAATAACTGATCTAAGCAACTGATTGAACATCCAGTCAATAGGAGACCCAAGCACATACCTCATTGAAAAAGCTTCTATCATTTCTGACACTCACGTTAGACTGAGAACAATTACTACAATATTTCTAATTCAAGTGCCTAAAATTACACTAGGACTTCAATTCCCACCTTCTTTTAAAATTATGGCCCCATATTTTAACAAAGGGAGCTTCCACTCTTACTTGTCTGGTTTATTTTTAGCTACAATAAAGAAGCCAAGGAGCTGGATGTTAGGAAGTTACTGTTTTTTTTTAAAATTCATGGATATTGAACATTATGTTTATAATTAAGTTTTAAAATGCCTTTTTTAAACAAGCGGTCTAAACAGTCAAATTCAAGTTTTTTTTTTTATTTCCATGTGTCAAAGTAAACAGCTGATTGAAAAGTTATTTAAGGAGTCCCTCGAAGTGACCCTCGCCTAAAAATAAGTCAAGGTTGGTTTATTTGTTTCATATAGGAAGTAACTAGAATATCACTTCTACTTAATCTATTTTCAATTATGATACTATAAATATTGTAAAGTGCCATGTGCCAGTTTATACTTTGCTTTCTTTTTTCAGATAGAATCGGCTTAATTAGCAGCATTATAAAAATCTATTTTAAAAAATCACAATTTAAATAAACACTGAAAACAAACTTCTTAAGAACTTACCTGGATTGTGGATACGATCCAAAAGCTTCACCGAGCGTGCGCTGACAACACCTCCAACGTGAAGGAGAAACCCAGGAGGAAAGGCCGTCAGGGTGAAAAACGGAAACTCCTGGCGGAGAAAATGAGGGAAAATGGGACTGTCCACACGCAAAGCATAAAACTGTGCTTGTCATAAAAAAGTATCATCGCCTTCAAAAGGAAAAGCTTACTATATGCTCTACATGCTTTGCACTTAAGTTGCCTTGGATGTTTAGCATTCCGAGTGCATTTCCCCACATGGACAGTGTCACCGAGCATCCAGACACCCCTCCCACCAAGTCTCAGCCTGAGACACGTGGGACATGCTTACCTCTCAGCGGGGCCCTACTTGGCTATAACTGCACAAAGAGAGGAGTGCACTGCTCCCCACCCTTGCTGCTTCTCAGAGACACAGCCAACCCTCCACATAAACACCACGAGCTACTGGTGAAGACTCCAAAAGCCTGGGGACAACAGAGCTAACAGTGGGACCCGGAGAGGGGTGCTGTGCGTTAGCAGAAAGGAGCAAGGATAAGGCCAAACACCAACATGAGGAAGGTACACAGCATCACCTCCTGGGATGATGTACCTTTAGTCTATCCATTCCAGGGCAGCAGGACAAGTGCAAGTGCACAAATGAGTAAGGAGAGGAGGACAGAAATGTGTTAGCTGGAACTAGGGAGGCAATACCATGCCACAAGCTCTTCTAAACTTCCTTCCTACACAGACCTCAGGATTGGAATGGCAGGAAGAAACATGGCAAAAAGAAACATCAATTACAGAAGGGGAAATCCAATGGAACCGTACCCAGGAGAAAGGGGAGGTCCTGTGACTGCCCAGACACAAACATCCCCCCTGTTTTAAAGACTGGAAAAGAGTGACTACCTGCCCTGCAAGATTCACACAGCCCACCTAACTGCACATCACTTACCGAAGCTTCAGTTATTCTAAACACAACTGAGAGGTGCAATATAAGCAAATCAGGACTCCTAACCATCAAAAGAATTGTATAGTTTCAAGTCTGAAAACACGCTGGACCGAGCACGTGGCATACTGGGCTAAGGTGATGCCACCATCCCACTGAGATGCAAGTTCAAATGTAGCTCTTCTGCTTCCAATCCAGCCCCTCGTTCACATGCCTGGGAAAGCGGCAGCAGATGACACAAGTCCTTGGGCCTCCGCCACCCATGTGGGAGACCGGAAAGAAGCTCCAGACTTTGGTCTGACCCGGCCTCCCTGGCTCTTAGGGCCATGTGCGGGGTGACTCAGTGGTGGAGATCATTATCTTCTCCTTGTCTCTCTCCATAACTCTCCTTTTCAAGTAAATAAAAAACCTTAACCAAAGAAAGAAACCAGATCTTTGTTCACAGATTTCCACAGCCCATGTTCCAATCACAGTATGCACAGAGTAAGTATAAATACATATTTTAGGAATTGGAAAATTTATCATAATTTTATTTTCTGTACCACAGCAGAAAAGCTGGAGGAGAAATAGATACAGAACAGTACTAGAAGCACAGACATTAAAAGCAACAAGACTACTAACTGGATGCTTAAAGCATAAAGAGTACAAACTCGTACAAGCACAATCCACAAGGCACAGCAATTTGGGATCACTCGGTACAAAGGTAAACAGCCTTGCATGCCTCAAACTCATGAATGTAGAATACAAAATGTGTGTGCATGTGCACACATCTGTCACAGGGACAGGAAATCTAGGTTTTGAAAGAAAAAGTGAAAAATACAGTCTATACATGCATTTAATTTTTCCCCAGCTGAAAGAACAAAAAGGGAAAACAGAAAAGAAATATTCACTAAAATGCCTTCTAAAATCTTCAAAAATATATATTTATTTTATTTCAGTGATGAGTAGGCGAATGTGTTACCAGAAATGCATTTTCCTTAAAAGTGAGACACTAATATTATTTTCTTCAATGTCAGAAACGTTTAAATTTTTAAAATTTCCTCATGGGATGATCCCATAGAGGGGGAAAAAACTATTTATTTGCATTAACTAAAATCTTTTAGGTATCAAGAAAAGACACTGAAAATAAAATTTGTGAAAGCAAAAGAGAAAACAGCACTCTCCTCAAAAACTAAAACTATTCGGGTAAATGCACACAATGGGAATAATTGTATAATATATTTTAGGCAAATGTGGAAAATGCACCTAAATGATTCTCCCCTGAGGCTTGTAAGCCTTCTAGAAGAAGGACTGGGAAGAAGTGCCACGGCAGAAGAAAGAGCAGATGGCCACAGTTAGCCAAACAGGGGAGGGGACACTGCTCACTTAACTCCATCTTCCCAGTCTCCAGGTCACCTGATCAGCTCACCTAGTCACTGCGCAACACAAAGATTTTCAAACTAGCCTCAGTAAACAAAAATGTTTGTTGTTTAACCAAAATATCATTTCCAAACAGGTCTCTAATTAGAAGAGTTACAGTTGCTATCAGCAGCAGATTCTAAAGGAACTATCAGAAATTACTCCATCTCCTCAAAGATCCCAATTCATCGAGTTTGCTTTGTATCAATGATTTCCAAGGTGTTCCACGACACAGACCGTACAAGGAAAGTTCTAACGTAAACCACATTTCAGAGACCTCTATCAAACCAGGCTACATCATTTTACTGCAGGGAAAGCACACATCTCAGAAACTAAAATGTAACTTCATTCTTGTAGATGAGAGTCTTAATGAATATAAATGCATTTGCCTTACGTCAAATAATTCAGAGGTAAAACCTCAACTTAAATAAAGCTTTCTCTCTCTTTCTCATCTCCCAGTTTCTGGCATCAGTTGCCAAGATATTGACAACTCACATTTCAATGCTTTTTTTAAAAAAAAATAATATTTTTATTGGAAAGTCAGATATACAGAGAGGAGGAGAGACAGAGGAAGATCCTCCATCCATTGATTCACTTCCCAAGTGACCACAATGGCTGGAACTAAACCAATTCAAAGCCAGGAGCCTCTTCTGGGTCTCCCACGCAGGTGCAGGGTCTCAAGGCTTTGGGTTGTCCTCGCCTGCTTATCCAGGCCACAAGCAGGGAGCTGGATGGGAAGCAGGACCGCTGGGACAGGAACCAGTGCTCATATGGGATTCTGGTGCATGCAAGGCAAGGACTTTTAGCCACTATGTTACAGCGCCAGGACCTTCAGTGCCTTTTAAAACAAGCAACAACAAAAACTTTAGTTCATCTAATTTGAAAGGCAGAGTTACAGAGACAGGAAGAAACAGAGAGAGAGGTCTTGCATCCACTGGTTCAATCCCCAGATCACCACAATGGCCAGGGCTGCTAAGCCAGGTCCAAGTCAGCAGCCAGGAGCTTCTTCCATATGTTGTACCAAGTGCTTGAGCCATCCTTCATTACTGTCCTAAGCACATTAGCCCAGAGCTGGATTGTTAGTAGCCAGGTCTTAAACCAGTGCCTATATGGGATACTGGCACTGCAGGTGGCAACTTAACTCAGTACATCACAGCATCACAGTACCAATCGCTACTTCGTTGCTTTTTTTTTTTTCTTTTTTAACAGAAAAGAACACTGGTTTTATTTTTTTAAATTACTACCTGAATAACCATCAAACAACAAAAGTCGGGGGTCTGAAGGGTAGCGTCTGGGCTAATCCTCCACCTGCAGCATCAGTAGCCCATATAAGCACCAGTTTGTGTCCTGGCTGCTCCACTTGTGACTCAGGTCCCTGATTTTGGACTGGGGATGGATTGGGAAAGAACTGGAAGATGGCTCAAGTCCTTGGGCTCCTGCACCCATGTGGGAGAGCTGGAGGGAGCTCCTGGCCTCAGAATGGCTTAGCTTCCGCCGTTGCAGCCATTTTTGGGAGTGAACCAGTAGGAAGAAGGCTTTTCTCTCTATCTTCCTTTCTTTCTCTATAAAATCCACCTTTCAAATAAAAATAAATAAATCCTGTTTAAAAAATTAGGCAAATAGCTTCTCACTCATCAAAAGGAAAAAGGCGTTAATAAGAGGGTTAGTGAGAGATAAAAAAATGATTATTTTAATAAATAAAAATAAATAAATCCTGTTTAAAAAATTAGGCAAATAGCTTCTCACTCATCAAAAGGAAAAAGGCGTTAATAAGAGGGTTAGTGAGAGATAAAAAAATGATTATTTTAAAAATAAGAGCAGGGGATGGTGATGTGACACGCAGGTCAAGGCATTGTCTGCAGTGCTGCCATCCCATATGGACACTGGTTCAAGTCCAGGATGTTCCATCTCCAATCCAGCTCCTTGCTAATGTGCCTGGGAAAACAACAGGACAAGACTCAAATGCTTGGGCATCCATGCAAATGATGAAGCTTCTGGCCTTCTGGTCTCAGCCTGCCCAGCCCTTGTATCTGCAGGCCTTTGGGGAGTGAACCAGGAGATGGAAGAACTCTTGCTCTGTTTCTCCCTCTCTCTCTGCAACTCTGTCTTTCATATTTTGTATTCGGGTACAAGAGCATTCCATCTGCATCTGCTCAGATAACTGCAATTATCACATGCGACTGAGGTCACCTGAAACAACTCATGCTCAACGAAGCTGCAAAGGAAAGCACAGTCTTACAGACTCCTGCAGTGAATTCGGTGAAGATCGCCTAACAACATATGTCCACCGTGCCCAAAAACTTCAGAGTGTTTAAAAGCATATTTGCAAATGCAAATGTTATCAACAGTAAATTCAAAAGGATCTTCACTGATTGTTATACTGTTTTCTCCTCAAAGCAATAGTTTTTAAGATTCTATAACAAATATAGCAAAGTGATGGGTACAACAATATAGGCAAAATGCCATTATGTCAAATTTCAAGGCAACTTAATTCTTCCTGTCAATGATCATTCTGGAACAGTAACAGAATTGTAAGAAATGTCTAGAAAACTACATTGTATTATTTGTAACAACAGGATATGGAAAGCACTGATTTCAAAAGTCTAATCTGTAGAAAGGAAAACTTTGTCTTATAAACTCCACCCTTTTATGGGTATCTAGGATACATTCTACTTCTTCCCACTCCAATGTTGGTGAAAATGAACCATACAAAAGAAAATTTTGTAAATGCTTATAGCTTCAAAAAAAAAAAAGCTATGAAACAGTGTCTTAAAACAATGGACATGACATATAAAACCATGCACTGTATTAGTAGAAAAAGAACATGAGCCTAGCAGTGCTATTAAATTAACAAACAAACAAGTGCACATTACGAAAAAAAAAAAAGTCTGGCAACACTTGTTAAAAGCTTAAATAAAACTTAAGTGACCAATACTAAACCAGAAAAGCTTCCAATACAGGAAGTAGGATTTCACACATGTCAGGAACATACCCGCCTTCTACAGAACCTATGGGGCGATCCTCCCTTAGCAAGGAAGTTTACAAAACACAAAAAAGAAACAAAAATAGAGAAAAATCATCCAAAAACTGTAACTACAGATTTTCCTACTCAGTAAATATAACTATATATTAAATATATAAGTATTAAATCAACACAAACACATATGTATATTAATCTGACAAATATAAAATATGTGCATTGCTTATCCCAAAAGAAACTGTCCAGAGATTTTTTAAAAGCTAGTTCTAACAAAGCAAATATACTATAGACTTCTTTTTCATACTGCAAGAGACAACTGAAATGCTTTTTCTGCAAAAATGTCTGCCATTTCCTTTCCTATATTATATACTCTTAATGAAAAATCAGAAATGATTTCAGTATTTCATGCATATTCCCAAAAAGAATAGTAATAAAAGACTGGAGAACAAAACAAAAAGTTACAGAGCTATTTCAAATCACAACTAATTATAAACAGTTCATGACAGTATAGACACCCACAAAAGCCCCAGATAATTCATCGGTACCGATAGCACAAGCAGGGATGTCAGGCGGCTCTTACCCTCTGCTCCAGGGCGGACTGAGTCTGTTGTCTCAACAGGGCTTTAAACGGCCCCCCTTCTTTTCCAGCACTACCACTTCCCATTCCTACAGAACAACAGCACATAAACAAGAACCAAAACAAAACAAAAACTATAGAAACAGAAAGTTTAACTGCACTTATCTTTATAAACATTATGAGTCAAAATACAACAAAATTATCCAAACATTAAAAGTATTTTAGGATGGCAACTATTTCATTATAATTCCATTCATAATTTTCTCCTTAGAGGCAAGATGTCAAAGACCTAATGACCTTAGCTAGTTTGGACTTAATTCGTCCAAAAAATTATGTCAAAGCTCTGAATCTTTGTGTAACACTCCACTTCTAGAGATTTTTATCTAATAAAAACTAATCAAGATAATAACAGTATGTCACTGCTGTTTTAAGATATTAAGAGAAACACTAAATATTTGGCTACAAATAGAAAAAAAAAGCACTAATTTTACTTACTTAAAATATCCCCATATCACTAAATTTAAGTATTTCTGAAATATAAACAAACTTGTTTTTTAATAACTTCCCATTTCTAAAAATGTCAAAACAGCATCAATTTTGTATTTGTCAATGCTGATTCACAAAAGGCAACATAAATTTTAAAAATTAAATAAAAATCACAAACATGTAATAGACACATCACAGATGTACATAGTTATGGATGAAAAAAAAGTATTTCCCAAGCTCTTATGTGTATTTTTAAAAGCTTAGTTTTGAATTTCTTTTCCTATCTTCATTTTATTGTTTCTGTAATGCCAAGAGAGCAACTGTGAATCAAACAATTATAGAAAGCAGGGGCCAGGTGGGAAGCCAGTGCTGTACAAACCAGATTTAATTCTACCCTTTCAGAATTGAAAAAGCATACCAATCAAATTCTCTACAATGACTTAAAAAGGAACTAATTTACTTTCACATTTTTAGCTGTTCTTGGATAAGGAAACAAAGGTTAGCATGTGTATAGTCCCATTGGTTCCTTGGGAAAAATATTATTTTTCTTGTAGCAACCTAAATATTATTTTTAGAGACTATACAATACTAAACATAGAAATAAAACTAACATCTTTATATGAAGCATACTGAAAGCCACAAAATAAAATGCAAATTTATAGTGATAAGTGAAATATCAGAAAATATAGCAGGAAAATTTAATAAATAGTTAACATAATGGACAAAAATAAGGGGGGGGGGGATGAAAGAATATCACCAAAATGAGACTTCAACTGATTCAGACAGAAAAATTTACTAATGTAGCCATTTGGCTTAGCCACGGGATGATGAATAGATCCAGCACGGATGGAGTGGGTATGAAGGGAAAGAAAGTACAGCATCTAAACAAGGAACTACCGGGAACATCCACCTTCTCACGTCCTTTGACGTAAAATATTTTAATACAAAAAATAATCTGGTGTCGTATTCATAATTATCCATACAATAATTCGCAATAATTTTCTTACCATAATTAGAATCATTTGGCTCTAGCAATGTGAAAATGAACAGAAATACATTGTGTTGTAACATGCTTAATAATTCTTTACAGTACAAACTAAGAAAAAAATGTTTTTCCAAAGGAATTTAAGACAAAAGGAGTCAAAAGCTGACATAACGTGATCCTACCAGAAGCAGCCAGGAACAACTCTTCACTGAAAGAAACACTTTTCCTCAGAACAGGGCTGACAGGGCTACAATGACGAGGGGCAAGGCTAGATTCCGAGAGGAGGAGACAGGACTTTCTAAGATGAAGGGAACCACTAGAGAGAGAGGGGGAGCTGGGACACAGGTAAATCCTAGGTCCCTGTGGGTAAGGTGCTGTAGAGGAAAGTGGCAGAAAAAGACGCAGATTCAGAAGATGATCAGAAAATGCAGGATAAGGAAACCAATGATGAAGCAAAAACGTAACAGTAAAAATGAATTTCAGAATGTATCGACAAATTACACTCAGCATATGAAGCCATTTGTAAGTCTGCGCAGCAGAGTCTGAACTCCACAAAACTTTTGCAAACTCTGCCTGCCTTAAAATTGTCTTAACCACTATCTTAGGATTTCATGTCATCATAATCATTCTTAACCCACTTCAACATATTTAAATTACCTTTCTGGTTTTTTTGCTTCAGAATCTTTAAGGTTAAAATGTACCACATTCTCAATTTTTGAAGCCCAAAACTTGCTGTCTTAAATATTAACATCTATTTAAGATGTTATTAAATAATACACCATTTATGGGTGCACTATCAAATAGCTACACAGAAAAAAGTTAAATGCTAGGTACCACTAGAATTTCAAATACATATTTTTTTTGCCTCCCAAAATGTTTAATCCTTTAACTTGATCTTGGTTCCCTTTGCGTTTACAGAGATTTGGATACTCTAAAAACTACACAGAATTAACTGCCGAAGAATCTAACACTTAGATTCTGACAGCTTTCAAATTGCACTTTTATTAGTTGAGTACTTGGGAAAAAAAATAGAAAAATAAAGTCTTTTTAAAATGACAAAATTTAGAATCCACACAAATAAAAATGGAAATTCTTAAAAGAAAATTTTAAACTATCAAAAAAAACAAATGATAGCTGCAAATATAAACAGAAAAAAAAGTCTTTCTCAGACTCCGTTTTATTATCTTTGTTTTCTTTTTGACTTCCACATCTATAATTATCACCTGTTTAATTCCTCTGTTTCTCAAGACACTGGTTTTTATATACAGGTAGATTAGAAGGACGAGAAAAAGAAACACATGCTCAACTACAGCCTTGGGAATTTTCAGGCAATTATTATAATTTGGCCAGTTTAAACATCCATGAGAAACAGGCAGGTTCCTCCAGATTAGCCCACGACAGCTGAAGGGATTATGAGGTAAACTGAGTAACACGCGGCTTGGCAGCAGGAGCTCCAGCTTACAGACCTTTTCTATAAAACACTGCGGCAGTGAAAAACAGGCAAGACAATTATTTAGCAGTAGCTTACAAACGAAGAAATGCATGAGGATAATATCTCATTTATAAAAGAACATTTAAAATCTAACAGTGTAGAGCCAGAGGATAAAAAATTTTTCCTTGGTAGTAGAACTGCCTGCCTACTAGAAAGCTTAAGCAAAACAAGTCCGGTTCAGATCATTCATTACATGATAGCCTTCTTTAGAATTGGCGTTTTTGGTAAATTAAAGAGACAGAAAAGGCCACAAAATTAGTTTCAAAACTTCACTTGCGGTGGAGCAAAAAATAATGAAGTCTTAAAAAAATGGCCTAGAATCCGGTCAGTGGACCAAATAAGAAGTTAATCAACATATTTGCACACAAATATGATCACGTTGTTATGAAGATTTTTCATAATAAAATCTTAGAATTAAATTCAACAACGGGCAAAGACAATGAATCCAAAAAAGCTCATGCTGCATGAGGAATGTGATTGCAAATTACTGGAGAAACGTCCTATTCGAACGCTTTAAGATGTTATTTCTTGAAGCGTGAGCATGAAATGAAAAGCGTCTACCTAGACACACCAGCCCTGGCCTTACGTCTACACTGTAATTCAATCAACAAGACGTACATCTCCAAACAAGATCATTTTTGAGCTATCCAATTATTTTCCAATTTTAATGATAGTTACTGAAAATGATTTAATATTAACATTATCTCTCTCTTTTTTTTTTTTTTAATTTATTTAACTGCCAAAATCAAGAGGAAAAGATTTGGATGGAAAAGCTAGTTAAGAAATAGAGACAAATTTTTTCAAAAGAAGAAAACAAAAAGTGGGTGGAAGCGCCTTACCAGTTTTGGGTGTCAAACTCAAATCTGTGTCAGAAGAAGAGGACTGTCGGCTGTAGGACTTGGAAGGTGAAAAGGAATAAGTTTGGTTTTTCAGAGGGGTTGAGGGTCCTGATGAGTGAGTATTGGGGTTGGGATCTTCATTGAAGGGAATCCTGCCAGAAGAAGGTGGAGAAATATTAAGTAATCATGTGCCAGAGGGCTTGGCGGTTGGCAGCATGATCCAAACACCAGCAAAGCACTTGGGGCAGGGCCAGCAGGCCTTTCTTAAGTGTGGAGCTGGGATTGAGGCCAAAGACAAACGTTTGCTGTTGAACCACTCATCGTCTCCAGATAAATATTTATCTGCATTGAAACAGTTAATAAGCCAAGGGAAAAAAGCAAAAAAGCATGAAATGATGAACTAAACGGGTAAAAATTATTGAACAGAGAAATAAATGAAAAAGACAAAATATTTTCAAAGAAACAATGCTTCTTTAAATTACAAAAAGGAAAAATGATGACCACAAATGGTGTGTGTAAATATTTGTAACTGTTGTTATATTTGCACACACAAGCATCTTCAAAAGAAAAAAAACATGTTTCCTTATCCCACAGCATCAAGAGTGCCACAGCTAAAAACCCAGCAGAGAGGAAACGGAAGCCCTGCAGTTAATGCACAACTGTTGCTTACCTGTTGTCCAACAGCTCTCTTCCACAGAATCAGACCCTACTGTACCCGGTTTAGCACACAAATAAGTAAGAGGAATCTTTGGAAGGAAATTTCATTTAGAATTTGATCAATTTCACTTCTGAACATATGCAAAAAATCATGACACACTGGAAGCTTCTCCTCAAAGTGACACACACGTAGATGGCACAGGGGCCTTAGGAGATCTGTGGAAGAGCCTTTGGAAGCGGGAAGAACACTTGCACTTCCATCTAGTGACAGCAGTAGGGTGGCTGAACATGGAAGCTCTTCACTGCAGCTGCACTTGGAGCAAGAAAAGGAGGAAGCAAAGACTCGCGGCACCTGCCTACCCAAAGGCAAAGACTCTGCGGCACCTGCCTGTGCTACCTGCTTGCCTGCCTGCCTGCCTGCCTGCCTCTGCAGCCACTCTGCCCGTGGCCTGCCTCTCCCCAGCTCTGGAGTCTGAGCAGTCTCGTACCAGTATAGATGAGAGTGGGAACTGACACAGAGAAGTTCTGAGTAAGTCGTGAGCCAGTAGCAGTGTGAATTGGGCTGTTGTGAGTCGAGCGGCATCCATGGCTTGGAGGATGAACCAGCGGAGACCTGGGGGAATTTTTGGTCAAAGTGGAAGAAAAGAAAATAATACATACAACAGATTGCAAAGTTAAGATAATTTTGAAGGCATTTTTGTTGGGGGAGAAAACTTACTTTTTAAGCCACAGCATGCAATACACTAGTAGAAGTTAAAACAGAAATAGCTAACTATTAATTTGTTAGGCTATAGATAAAAGTTAAAGGGATCTGATTAATAAAGTAGGACTATGAATAAGAAAAATTAACAAGCACAAGTCAATTAAATAAGTAAAAGGCTAAGATTTGGGTTTCAAATTGTCTTAACGTTTGTTATTATTTGGATGACAGGAGAATGTACCTAAATAACAACATTTACTGGGAGAGGAATGCCCACACAAGTGAAAAGTCAAATATAACTTCCTCGAATTACCTTAGAAACTGAGATGAATAACTAACATAGGTATAACTTTCTAAAAATTAAGTTTAACAACTGTTCTTTGTCACATCTCTTAAGATAAAGACATTTTAAGAACATGAAAAACGACAGCATCAAGAGAAATGAGGGAACTGAATGGATATGAACATTTATACATTTCAGCATTTCAACAGATGAAATACACAGCTTAGAGCTAACCTGCAGTGGAACCAAAACAAAATGGGAGCATGCTGGTTTTAAAAACACATTTAAAAAGCAAGGTAAATAATCTGTCTAGTTTGTATATATGGTACATTATATAAACTACATTTCGCTAAAGGTGTATTACAGAGAAGTGTTGGACTTCATTCTAGACCTTATTTCACTAAAGAAAATCTTTGCTTTTTCGCAGTGGGGGGAAACAATCATATCTAAGTACATCATCAAATCTTCATTTTTTAGAAGTCAAATTGAAGGTAGGCCAACCTTTCCTGATCTTCTCTTTCCAACTGCTATCCTACTGACTGCCAAGGGAATATTTCTACCAATCACAACCTGCCCATGGTTCACACATGAGCTATCACAAATTAGCCATGTGTTTTTTTTAACAGGGTCCAGAAATGACTTCCTGAAAATAGTACTGATTTTTATCATATGATAAATGTTTCTGATTTTGTTAATAAGATAAATCTAAGATTTGATAACATTTAAAGATCTCATTGATGATTTATTTTTATCCAACCAGAGTTTTTTGTTTTGAAATTTCTCTGCTGACATGTGAAAAAGTCTAAGAATGCTCAGATTTAAAAAGTCTAACAATCAGTCCAGCACACAGGAGAAATCTCAGACTAAAGTGTATCAGAAAGGCCTTTTTTATAAGTAGCGAAGCAAAGAACCATATGTTATATCATCAAGAGAATACAGCTAAGAAGCACTAAAGATTTTACACTGTGCCTCCCTCAATACCTAAAAGATAAATACTTAGTAGCGGTAAAATAGAATGAATACTGTGAAATGCTCAAATTGCAACACTGAATTAATATTCAAATACACTGCAGTATCACTTTAATGTACACCTAGAACTGTAGTTCTATTAGTCTCCTTAAATCAAAGTACCTCACTAAAAATCCTTACACAGTTTCTAACATTAAATCTACTCAGACAGGGACACCATCTAAACTACATTCTACCAAATTCTTATCAAGAACAATTCTGCAATGATAATCAAATGCCAGAAGAGTTATAGTAAGCTGAATCATTAAAAATTCATTCTGAAATAATACTCAATTAATTACCAAAAATATAGCAAAGTTGGCTGAGAATAAAGCAGTCTGGCTCCTGAGAGTATTTCTTTTTTTTTTTCATTTTTTAATAATAAAAAGAAAACACACTGTAGGAAGATGCCTTTCAGGAAATCCTGATAAAGTAATTTAAACTCTTCATGGTGTGAATGCTTGACAATTTACAGCAAACAGCTACAACAAAATCAGAAAGTGGAAAAAGCCTACATAGCTCTTGAAGGTAGATATGCAGAGGTGAGGAACCTTTTTCCTGTCAAGAGCCAGTGGACATGTATAACATCATTCATGAGTCATATAAAATTATCAAGAGGAATTTTAAGCCCTGCCTGTGGCTGCCTTGCGAGATTGAGACTGAATGAGTTTGCAGATTCTAGCATTCCTGTGTGTGGATTAACGGGAAAGTTCCTGAGTACATGTAAAACATACTCCTCTCCTACTCAAATTCCATTCTGATGCACCAGCAGATAACACAGCTTTGTTCTACCAATGAAGTGATAGTCCAAACAGAACTTGAAGCTGCACATCTGCAAAACCATGCCGAGTCAGGCCATACAGGGGCATCAGCAAGACAAATCTAGATCTTAAACTAGCTTTGGAAAGAGGAAAACACAGGGCCAGCTCTGTAGCGCAGAGGTAAAGCCATTGCCTGCAATGCAGGCAACCTGCATCTTACGGAGACCCAGAAGCGCCTGGCCCTTGGCTTTGGCTGGTCCAGCCCTGGAAGTGAATCAGTGCACGTAGGATATCTCTTTCCCTCTCTCTCTTTCAAACAAATATAACAAATAAATCTATAAGAAAAAAATGCAATGTGAATCCCTCCAGAAGTTACAGCTGCTACTAGACTTATAATTTGTCTAGGACATGTGAGAATTATAAATAGTATAAATAGAACATAAAGCAAACTTACTCTTAACTTATTTAAAACAATTATTTCTATGGTCAATGTGTTTCCAAACAAAGTGAGGTAACTTATGATACTTGGCTCTCTCTTGTGAGTAAACTTCAAACCAAATGACTAAAGCCAGCAGAAAGGAAATGGCTAAACAAAAAAACAGAAAATCTCATTTTAAAAGATTATCAAAGATATTTTCTTTTTTAAAGGATTGACTGCTTTCTATTCAGCTTCTATGCATGACTACTGGACTGGGGGACATTTCAGATTTTCTAACTACAGAACTGTGACTCTCTGATACAGAACAAGGATTAGCTAACTGCAGGCCCTAGGCCCAATCTAGCTTGTCGTATCTGTGTTATAAGAGCACAGCCACACTCGGTTGCCTGCAGACTCTATTGCGGAGATCACAGCACAATGACAGAATTATGTGGCAGCATAGCAAAAATTTCAACATTTATTTTGACCATCTCGCCACATTCAGAAAAAGTTCATCAAGCCTTGATCTACAAGAATCTACAGATGAGTGGTCTCAATAGAAGCACCCTGAACATACCACTTAAGACCTTGCCAGCAGCTCGCTCTGTTGATTGCCAGCATCTCTAGTCCCTAACGGAACCTACACCTGTCATTAAGCATCGTGACAGATAACTCCTAATTCAAACATTCCAAGCTGACAGTACAGGCTGAATGGCAATTATCTAGAGTGTGTGGAACCAGCAATGTTTCAGAGTCAACATTCATAAACTGGAAGGCCTCTGCAGACAAGTGACTTTCAGACTTCTGAATAACTCAAGTCTTTCCTGCTGCCTATACTAATGTTGTCAATAACAAGTACAACTGAATTAACATGGGGGTTATACATTACTTAAGCACAGTTCTATACCATGGGATGAAATGACTTAAAATTTCAGTATCTAAAAATCTAGAATACATTCATCTATACTTTTTGAATTTCACATGAAGACAAAATAAATACTAATAATAACTAAACACCTCAAAATTTTATAAGTCCTCTTGGATAAGAAATATCATCATAGGAAAAATGTGTTTTGAGCAAAGCTAATAAAATGTTTTAAATTCAGTGAAAAGGTGTAAGATAAAACTCTCCATAAGAATAATCTCATTGACTCATACTTACTCCTTCATTTCTTTGGATGGGGAATTACATGCAGGAAGGAATGCCGCCGGGCTACTTAATTTATCCAAAGTACACGCTGTTCCTATGGCTCGTACCACTAACCCAGACTCGCCCTCCAGATCAAAACACTGCAAGTACCCGACAACTGCATTTCCTCTCATTTCAAGGACTTTCAGACCAATCTTCCTTTGCAATTCACCTGAAAAGGGGAAGAAAATTCATTTGTGCTTCATATCTCTGCATTACACATGAGAAAGCTGGACAAGGCAAATAAGATAAAAACAATTTATTAACAAACAAACAAAAATCATAGGTTTTCATCTTGAAGGAAACCTAAACAATCATCTGGTCCATTCACTGACTTCCAGGGAGGCAAGTTCTGAATGGTTGCATTTTACTGATGTGCAAGCAAGCCTCTCGCAATGATGCCTTCATCTACAGAAATACTAGAAAAAAAAGGACATTGCTCATCTATGCTAAGTGCCAGGGACACAAGGATGAATAATAAAGGTAAAGTTCCCAATCTAATGGAGTTTACTCATTTGTAAGATAAACCAAAAATAATATGAGTAAACAAATATATATTACAAATAATATATAGAGAGCACAAATATCACAATTAAACATAAAAATAACATTTAGACTTTATGTATGTATTCTTGAGTGTATACATATATCACATGTATGTTCATACACAAATAACTATGTAGTTTATGAAGCATACAGGTTCTTAAAGAATAAAAATCACAGGATAAGACGGGCAGGGAAACCGACATGACAGGAAGACAGAGCTTGCAGTAAGTTCTCGGGGAAGGATGGAGAAAAGGCGGTGTTTGAACCGCATTAGGAAGAGAGGGACAGTCTGCCTAAGCTCTGACCACAAATAAAAGGTCTAGGGAGGAAAACCAGACTCCAGCTTCCTGCTCAGGCCTCCTTCAGAACCTTCTCACTCATGACTCTTGCCACTGTACCACTGAATGAAGCACACGATTTCCTTCTGCTACCTGATCAGGAAGCAACCACAGGCTGCTGACTGGTATTTCCACGTGTTACAATAGGGCAATGTATCTGTGTTCAGAAGGAGTGATCCAGGGACAGGGAAACACAATCACAGCCCTTGCTGTACAGTTTCAAGAGCGTATCAAAGGGAAGTGAAAATGCTTTGTGTATTACATTAATCAGTAATAGATTTTCCTTTCTTTTTGTTTAAATACCTGACATTAAAGAAATGAGTCTCTGTCTTGCCTCATTTGAGGCCCTTGGTGTGCGAATTCGATCAATCCACTGATACTCTGGGTCTTCATTCACCACAAGTTCTTCTACAAATCCATGAATTATCACAGCTCTATAGCACTTTGGAATAGATGTTGCTGTTAAAACAAATGATGTTATGCCTCATTTACCCCAAACCAAAATTCAATTTTTTAAAAAAACTGTTACATTTTAGACACATAATATAAAAACTATTTCTACTATGAGAATCTCATTAGAATTATACTAACACTTCCAATTACAGCTTTACAGGCATCTAAGGTTTATTTTAGTCACATAAATAATCATTTTCTTTTATAAAGCCTATCATCTTTCTTATGTCAACACAGTAAATATAACTTATATTTATGTAAATTGTGGAAACAACTACATATTTCCTTACATAACACTGAATATAGTTTTAAAAATCAAAATTAAGGTCAGCTAGCAGATTATTTTATAAGTAGGCACAAAGTACAATAAATCTAAAAATTCTTAATTATACAAAGATCTTAGCAAAACTTCCTCCAGACACCGCATGCTGTAGCCTCAAGCCCTACTCCCTTCGCCCTTCTAGAGTGCTCTTCGAGCCAATACTGCCCCGCAGGACCTAATAATCCAAACAGCCGAGTGGTTCTGAAGTCACTGCACTACTCCACACACCCATTTTTTAATATGCTCTCATTTAAACTGAATTGGTATTTGTAGTGAAGATCTCATCAGATTCAAAAAGAGAGAGTCTCAGACTATCAAATTAGTCTCTTCAAACTGATGCTAGTTCATTAACAGCAGCTCTGCTCCTTTTAACCCTACCTCCACTTGCTGCTTATGCCACCCAGATTTGCCCAGTTCAGACCCACATACTTCAGAGTTCTCGGAACTCCATTCCTGAAGAAGTCTGGACACTAAGGGGCAGAACCATCTAGTGCTTGGCTGTTGCGCTCTAACAGCCTCCAAGATCCTGTATACTATTTACACTCAGGTATGACAATTATTTCTGGAAAGCCAAATATTTTCTCTCTTGTACTAAAACCAATGATTAATACAATTTCAATTAGCCTTCTGAAATATTCACTGTTTTCCCATGTTTAAGAATATGACATGTTCTATGAAGTGAATAAAACAACTTATTTACTTACTGCAAAAGAATTTGACTCCACACGATGACTGTCGAAACCGATTTAAATCATTGAAGAGATCCACTTTAACAACTACATTGATTTCCCCACGGATACCTAGAAATGCAAGAGGAAAATCAAGTTCCTACCTTAAAAATAACATGTAAATAAACAAGTAAATAAATGTCAATGAATAACTTCAAATAATGTATCAATCATAATAGTAAAACTTTGTTTCCTCATTATTTTCATTCTACCTATTCTTCTATTTTCTAAAGTGCTACATGTGTACAGAATAATTTTCATTTTTGCCACAAATCTCCACTGATCTGAACCATAACTAAATGAAAAGTAGTCTCATCTCATTCAAATAGGGTGATGATTTCTATAATGATAACAACACTGAAGATGACATCCTAAATGTCTTAATATCACATGTCACAGTACCCACATCAACACAATCAGGTATTGCAATACTAGTATCAACCCTATTTCATAAAAGGAATACTTAATTAATAATAACTGTAACTGGCAAGGCTAGTATTAAAAGACTTTTGTGGCTCCAGCATACATACTCTTAACATCTGATTTAACACAAAATAGATTTTCTTCCTTCCAATAACTATAAGTCTAATAAGCTAACTATAAAATTCTAAGACTAAGGACTTTTAGAAAAAGTCCTAATATATAAAGATGATCTAGTACTTACCTCTAAATATTTGCTAGGCAATTTTACTGAACTATTCTGATTTCACATTAAATTCATACTTTGCACTTCATAATAAATCATACACATTTCCTGGTGATCCTGTTTTCTGAAAATAGGCTTTTTATCCCAAGCATAACTCTTATCTGCATATATTTAATTTAAGCAATCCTAATTTTCGTCTTACATTTATCATTTTAAACATTAGTAAGTAACAGGATGTAAACATTCATGAATATCCATATTATGTTCATAAGAACATAACATTATAAAATAAGCTACTCAATGTTTATAAAAATGTAAACAACAACAGAAAACATATATGATTAGAGAGACAAGCACCACTTCTGGATAGGTTTCTTTGCGATTCTAAAGAGATATTACATGTTTAGTCCAGCAGGTCACAATTTTTTGGTTTCAGGAGCCCTTTACCACCTAAAAAATGATTTGAGAGGGGGTCAGTGTTGCAATGCAACAGGTTAAAGCTACAGTTTGAGCTGCCAGCATTCCACCTCAGAGTGCCAGTTTGAATCCCACCACCCAAGGAATCCCACCATACTGGAACACCAGTTCAAGACCAATCCAGCTAACTGCTAATGCACCTGTGAAGGAAACAGAAAGATGGCAGTGCAAGTGCTTAGGCCCTGCCACTCGCACAACATGGAATTTCCGGCTCCTGGCTGTGGCAAAGCCCATCCTCACCTTGTCAGCCATTTGAAGAGCAAGCCAACAGATGAAGGACTCCTCTCTCTCTCTCTCTCCATCACTCTGACTTTCAAATAACTCTTCAAAAAAAGGCTTTTTACAGGCATATTTTTAGTGCACATAGTTTAAAACTACCAACTATACCACAAGTATCTTCAAGGATAAGTAATAAAGATTGAGACTGTGATTTACTCTTGAAACACTTCCTACCATGTATGGTGTCATAAATTGGAAACCATCCTGAGATGACTGTTGCAGCTTCACTATACAGTAAAGGGTCGATGTCGATGTACACCTTCCCAATGGCATCATTGGCACTGTAGGTGTCATGGTCAAGAACTGTGATCTGCAGAGGTTCGTCCTGCAGGTCTTCATCATCCACCTGAAAGTACATGTAAACATTAAATTTTACAGTTTTGAAACATTGATGATCACAAATGTGTACCTAGACTCATGAAAATGATGACATTTCTCAAAAACAAAAAAGTATAGACTTGTTACACCATTTGTTTCAAAGTACAAAGATTGAGGCATTCACACACACTGTAGGATGACATCTTTCTGAAGAAAAAAAGAACACAGTTTTCCTCCAAGTACTAAAGTAAGAATAACACAGAAAGTTCTCAATGTGTTTTCCTATATTATCATTTGTTTTACAACTCTGAAGGCACGTCACAACAGAGCCCATATCTTCTCTACAGAGAAAGAAGATGCCAATGAGTACAACTGTACCATAATTTCGAAGAACTATTTCAGAAGAATGAAATTTTAAGCAAAATAAACTATGCATGAACAAGTAAACTTCCATGTATCAAATTCATGATACATGTCTTCTCTGAATTACACATTATCAAGAATGTTTCACATGCCAAGCACTGTGCCAAAACAAAACAAAGGAGACAAGACCTTCACCAGACAGTTGACTAGTTTGAGGAGGTAGGGTAATAGAGGGAAAGTTCCTCTTTGAAGCCATAACATGGCTGTCAAACCAGCCCAAAACCCTGAAACTCAAATGAGACAATGCTCCTAAGGCATTTCACCAGGGTCCAAGGCTAATAAATGCTGTGCAAGCGAGAACTGTCATGTTTTTTCAATATTTCATGTTCCTTCCATAGGGCCTGGCTGAGTTACCAGAATCTCCTATAATATTTGCACATATTAACAGCCTGAATCAATGCATGAAAATATAAACAGATATACACAGAGAGGGGCAAAACATGCCAGCAGTGCAGTGATTTTGAGCCAACACAAAACAGAATTCCCAAGGGACAGCACATACAGTGGACCAACACACAGAATGGATACAGCAACCCTATGTCTCAGGACAGGATGTACGTAGGAGGCTGCTGGGGAGCAAGGGATCCTCAAGTGCTTTCCCCTGGCCAACTTTAGCTGTTGAGTAAACTTAATTCAGTTAAAATTATTCAAAGTAAAAAGTATTTTCATTGTGTAAACAAGTTAATATATCTGAAATAAAAGGTATTGCTACCATTCTGGGAAAATAATCACTTCAAACAAAAAAAAAAAAAATAAGAAAAGAAAAAGAAAAAAAAACAAAATATTGCTACTTAAAAACTCACCTCAAATTTAAACCATTCTGAGTTCCACTGGGGGTTGAGTGACTTGAGGTACACATCTGTCTTAAATGTGGTGTTACCAAATTTTACCTAAAAACAGACATAAATATTAAAACTGTGAGTAAAAATAAATTATCACGACAGCCACATGACCATAGCAGGAACAAGGACAGCTGTCCTCTATGACAAAAAGGAAGTTCCAGATTTGTCCATGTGTGCGCGTGGAATACTTCTGGCACCTTGCTTAACTAGCTCCCTGGGAAAATGGGGCACAGAACACAAGGTAAGCTTGGAGGAAGGACTCAGGAGGACACTAAAAGGAACTGACATAAAAGAGGGAAATCTTTTTTTTTTTATTTCATTTCATTTTATGTCACAGTTTCATATGCTCTAATATTCCCCCAGCCCCTCCCCATGCCCTCCTCCCCTGGTGGATTCCTCCACATTGTTGCAGTATTACAGTTCAAATCCAGTCATGATTCTTTCATTGCAAGCATGTTCCATGGATGGAGTCCAGCATCTTATTGTCCAGATAAATTCAACAGTTTCTTGGGGAGACCATCTCTGGTCTGAAAGCAGAGCTGGCAGAATATCATCCTCTCCAATGAAAAGCCACAACATAACATCGACAACAATTTACAGCTTTATGGAGTTAACTGACATGGTATTGAGTGACCATTGTTAGAAAATGCAAGTTCTTAACCACTGTGACTATTTCACTGACATTTCAATTTTAGTTTATACACAACTGGTTGCTATACACCTTAAAATGGCTGTAGGATACTATTCAGCTGTCTCGTGTCTATTTTCATTTTTATATTTAGCAGTTTATAGTGTTGAAGCATAATTTTTACTGAACTTGACGAATTTTAGGATAATCCAAACTGGCTTATAACTCTAACAAGGCATATGTCAACAGTTGAGGTGCAGAACAGTTTTAGGAGGGGTGTGCAGAGAAATCTTCAATACTCCAGTGAGGAGTAACTAATCTTTGTGTCCAACCTAGTAAGGAATACGTGAGTCCAAGCTGACCGTTTCCTTTCTGGTTCTAAGCTTTCCTTATTGGTCTCTGTCTATCTAATCTAATTTTTTTTTTTGGTGGGGGGTGGTGTCTGGAGCGACCCTGACGATCATTGCAAGAGAGGGTGGGGATCCAAAGTTGGAACTAAGTAAGAACCAGAGAAAGCTCCCCTCCCGAGTCCTGAAGGAAGTTTACTGTTCTGTTTCTGAGATCCGCTCAGGGCTCCCAGCTATTGTTTCGATGACATTAGATCCTGTGAAGGATCTGGGCATCTTCCATCCCATGTGGGAGATCCAAAAGGGAGTGGATGACCCCAGAGTTCTTGGCCTACAAGGGCAATCCAATTCCCCATGGTCTCCTTGGCAGTTGGGATACAGCCCTTTGTGCCCGTACCTTGTGAGGATCCGGGAAAAAGAGGGATATCTTAAAAGAGTAGGACCAGAACAAATAAAAATCACAAGGTGATGCCCTCCTAAGCAAGAGAATCTAGCACACCCACTACTTCAAGAACTTTGGAACATTTTCTGGTAACTTTCCCGTATCTGTTGTGTCTTCATTTCTGCATTTCATCAACTGTGATGTTTGATGTTCCCAGCTTCAAAGATGATAAAAGGGGTTAGATGAAAGACATCTTAATTCACAGCCTATCTTGGCAAGCACTAAATTACACAAGCTCCAAAAACAAGTCATTAAAGAAATGAAGATGGGGGGGAAAAAGCAAGGTAAATCCCTGGGGTTTGCTTCCAACAAAGAACTGGGTGAAACCTGAGAATCAGTCTGTGAAGTGGTCAGGAAGTAAGTTCAAGAAAAAACCACCAGGCCCATGTTTTCTAACTTGCCTCAAAGTCCCTAACTTGACCTCTGCGAAGTCTTACTGCTATTCTATTATTTATCACCATCAAGTATTCTTCCAAACTTCAAAGTACAGTAAGCCTTAGCTCCTGTATCCTAACAACCAGCATTGCACGCTGTACATACTCAATAAAGGCTTGTCCAACCTGGTAAATGTCATAATATTTGCTGATGTCACAGCTTAATCAAAAAACTTGTGAAAAGCAAGATTATTTTTCTCTTCCCTATGTTTTTTAGTTATTGTATTATTTAGCTAATTTAGTTTCAATTATCAATTATTTGGTAACTAAATAGTGTTTAAGGGTAGGGAAAAAACCCTACAAAGGCGGCTTGTGTTATGGCTTAGGGAGTTAAGCCATCCTTTGCAACACCAACATCCTATCTAACATGGGTGTGAGCACTGGCTTCTCATGGCACGATGCAACTGCCTGTGGATGCACATTATTGCACCAGATGTTTTTGCCCAACCACAGGCTAAGTGGGCTAAGCACATTCAAATTAGACTAGGAAGGTTAGGTATATTAGAAGCTTTTTGAAGAAAATATGAGCCGTCCTCAACTGCTTTCCCATGCCACAAGCAGGGAGCTACATGAGAAGAGGAGCACCCAGGACATGAAGCAGCATCTGAATGGGATCCTGGTGCTTGAAGGGAAAGGATTAGCCAACTGAGCCATAAGAGCATCTTTTTATCTAGTGAATTTTCAATGTACAATGGATTCATCAGGATTAAATTCCATTACAAACGCCACTATAAGTTGAAGACAATTTTTCCTTTACATAAGCCACTGCCAGCTGGCATTATAACACAGTAGGTAAAGCGGCCACCTACAACACAGGTATCCCCCACATGGGTGCTGGTTTGGCTGCTCCACTTCTGAGCCAGCTGCCTGCTACTAAGCTGGGAAATGCAGCAGAAGACAGTCCAAGGGTTTGGGTCCCTGCCACCCACGTGGGAGACCAGAAGGAGCTCCTGGCTCAGCTCTGGCCATTGTGGCCACTGGGGGAGTAAACTGCGGATGGAAGGTCTCTCGTTCTCTCCATAAATATGATCTGCCTTCCCATTAAAAATAAATATATATTTTTAAAAATACTAAAACTGCCTTATTTGAAATAAAATGCTAGGATTTTCAAAACCCTTCAAAAACCAAATACACTTCAAAAGCATAGCATGTTTAAAATGATGAACCTGGAGCCTCTTCAGTTGTCACACTACGGCACCTGTCCTAGGCCTATGCTCTGGTTTTTGTTTTTTTCATGTTGTTTTGGTTTTTGTCAAATGTTTCCACTCTAGATATAGATCAGACAGTTCCCAAATGGAATTAAACAAATAAGATTTCACAAAAAGAAAGAAGTTAGTATGTGTATTTTGTCAACATTGTGATGTTTGCCCTTTAACTAACGCAGAGTCACAGTTCATTTGGTCTTATTTAATTTAAAGGAGATTTTATTACACAGCAATTAAATGAATGCCTTACAACTTTGTTAAGAAACATCAGGGACTTTAATGGGAGATTCCCCAGTAAAGTAAGGCTTCCTTTTCCCCCACTCATTAACTAAATTACCTTGAGAAAGTTATTAAGCCTATTATTTAAGCCTGCTTCTTTCTCTGAGAAGCAAGAATGCTGGAAGCATTACATGAATTTATACATGTAGTGGCCCCACAAAATATCTCGGATATAAAAATACTCATTAAGTGCTAATTTCATTTCCTCTCCATAGTCTCTCAAAGGCTCCCGGATAAACACAAGATGGCAATGTAGTTTAGCAGAACATATTTCAACATGCACACTGAGAGATTTAACAGTTCCCTTGTACAGAATCCCTTATTCATGCAGAGATTCTGCGAGAATAACCATCTCTAAATACCACTTGCTTCCACCGGATCCCTAACTCATCTTACACAATAGAAATCCTCTCAACCAGTGCCCACCAGGAAAAATATTCAATTAAGTATCAAATGATTTAGAGAATCATTAAGAATAATATAATCTGCAAACACCTTAAGATATAGCATATTGGGGCCCAGCATGGTAGCCAAGTAGTTAAAGTCCTCGCCTTGGATGCACCAGGATCCCATATGGGCACTAGGTCTAATCCTGGCAGCCCCGCTTCCCATCCAGATCTGTTTGTGGCCTGGAAAAGCAGTTGAGGACAGCCCAAAGCCTTGGGACCCTGAATCCGCCTGGAAGACCCCAAATTAGCTCCTGGCTCCTGGCTTTGGATCAGCTCAGCTCTGGCGGTTGTGGCCGCTCGGGGAGTGACTCAGTGGTTGGAAGCTATCTCTCTCTCTCCTCCTCTCAGTATATCTCAGTACCCGTGACCATCCTAGACTTTACGGCTTCACACTCCCAGGGGCCTGATCATAATCCCCTATCATCCCTTTACCTGCATGTTCCCCTTTTGCTGGATTAGTGTAACTAACCAATTGTGGTTAAACACTCCAGTACTTTCCATCTCCCTTACACAGTCATGTTTGTCCTTTTAAAGATTTACTTACTTATCTGAAAGGCAGAGAAAAGCCGAAAATATTATTTTTCATTCCACTGCTTGATGTGCTAAATGTCTAACAGCAAGGCTGGGCCAGGCCAAGGTCAGGGGACAAGAAATCCCTCCCCATCGTGGAAATGGATGGCAAAGAAACAAGTACTTGACCGTCACTTGCTGTCTCCCAGGATGTGCATTTACAAAATGCTGGATCAGGAGTGGAAAAGCTGGGAGACTGCAGGACTGGCATCGGAGCCCAGCAGGTTTAAGCAGACTCCTGTGACAACAGTATGCCAAAGCAGAGTGCCAGATGCTCTGAGCTGGCCTCTCGCTAATACTCCTGGGAAGGCAGCGCATGATGGCTCAAGCACTTGGGCCCCTGCCACCTGTGTGTGAGACCAGGATGGAGATCCAGGCTCCTGGCTTCAACGCGGCCTGGATCCAAGTACTGCGGCCATTTCGGGAGTGAATAAGCACAAAGAAGAGTCCTAATTCTTCCTCTGCTGCTCTTTCAAATAAATAAGCTTAATCAACTCTGCCACAACACCCACCCCTCGGCCATTCTTCAAATAGCTGCTTATTCACACCATTCCTCCTTTCCTGGCTCCCTTTACTGACAACAGTCCTGGTTGTAGCTTGACTGTGCCTCCGCCAGGATGGGTAACTGCCTCCACACTGTCTAACAGTGACTTCTCAGTCTTACTTGACCTCTCGAAGCATTTCACAGAAGTCCCAACACTCTCGTGTCTTCTAAGACATTACTTTCTGGCTCCTCCCTTCCATTAGCATTCTATTTCCTTTTCCTAGTCTTCCTCATCTTACAAACCTGTTCACACCCCCACTTTCTCCCCCTAAATCAGAGGTTTGCAAAAATTAACAGGCGCTTTAGAAATGTCCAGCAGGGCTTTATTGGGACACAATAGTAGCTAATGAGGAAGGGTGAGACAGGTGGGGTGTCCTGCAACGCCAGGGGTCTCCCCAGTAATGAAGACTTATCCCATCTCATGACTTCCCAGCGTCCCATCCAACAGTCACATGGGTAGGAACCCGACCTGGAAACCAGCTCAGTTACGGGTGAAACTACTGTGACAGAGTCCAGCATTGCAACACAGTGGTTGAGCCTCTGCCTCCAACACCAGTATCTTGTATGAACACTGGTTCAAGTTCTGACTGTTCCACTTCCAACCTAGCTCCTTTCTATGTAGCTGAGAAGGCAGCAACAGATGGTCCAAATACCTAGGCCCTGCCACTTTTTCAAGAGTTTGGGCTAGAGTGCCAGTCTCCTGGCCGGGCCACAGCCATTGTGGGCTCTGGGGAGTAAATCAGCAGATGAAAGATCTCTTCCCCTCTCTCATGCTGCCTTCCAAATAAGAAACTAAATCTTTTTAAAGTGTATTTTATTAAAAAGTTACAGAAAGAGAGCTAGACAGAGTTGTCCATTTGCTGGATCACCCCCCAAATGGCCACAATGGCTGCAGCAGAGCTAAGCCAATCTGAAGCCAGGAGCTGAGACTCAAACCAATGCCCATATAGGATGCTGTGGCCTAAGTGGAGGATTAGCTTGCTATGCCACCATGCTGACCACTGTAAAATTTTTTACAAAGTAAAAACTAAAGGCACTGGGATCAAGTTTCACATTGTTAAAAACTCTAACCATTTGGGTAAGTGTTTGGTTCGGCGATTACTACACGCTCCATGTTGAATGCCTAGGACTGAGTGCCACTTCTGGTCTCAATCCAGTTTCCTGCTAATGCACCTGGGAGTCAGCAAATGATGGCTCAAGGACTTGAGTCCCTGTCACCTACGTGGGACAACCAGCCTGGCCCAATCTCAGCAGTGGCAGGCACAGGGAAAGCAAAAAACGCAGACAGAAGATTCTTTGTGTCACCTTAGCTTTTGAATAATGCAAATGAACACAACACAACTTCCTATAGTGAGACCACAGTGAGGGCTAACAACTGAAACCTACTTAGCAGCGATCTGGCAGCGAGGAGGTTTAACACACATTAGCTCTGCATTCTGGCTCTCAGTTGCACAGGTTAGCCCCTGAGCTACCTGCAGCATCCCATTCCTCAGCATCTGGTCCCACAGCACACTCAGGAAAAGGAAGCAGGATTAAGAATTACTGTGACACTGAAGGGGCAAGAGAACTGCAGTCATTATCCTGGAGAAGCCTTAGGGAACGCTAAGACTGTTCTGAGACGAGGCGCTAAACGGTGGGGCCTCTATCCGCTCTCAAACATTAACACCCCAATGATTATTGCTCTACCTCATCAACTCAATTTTTATTGCAAATTTTCCTTGGCTTCTTTCACACGCCGGGTTATTACTTTCTGGGCCTTAGGCCCACGCTAATTTGCATGAGTTTTTAAACTAATCATTAGATTTTAAAAAGCAATTTTGCAATTTAAATCCGTGGCACTTAACTGACTTCCTACCTCAAGGCACTAAATTACCCTTCCTGAAAACACCTCCCCGCGACTGTGGGTCCCTACAGAGGCAGTGTCAGCAGCTGTGTTTGATCAATTCTGAAACAGGTTGGGTCAGGATCCCTGTCACACCGCAGGGCTCCACGCACCCGTGAAAAGGGCTGGAGGCACCTCCAGCGACAAGACGCCCATGGCTCGGGCGCCCAGCGCCAGCCCTCCCTGTGGCGAGTCCTGACACCAGCTTCCCCGCGCCACCTGTGCGCCAGGATCCATGACAACGGCTGAGGTCTCGGCGGTCATCCCTCCAGGGACAGCTGGTCACGCCCGGCAGACAGGGCGCGCAGTGGAAGGGCGTTTGGGCTGAGGAGCGGGGAGAGGGGGCGGGTGAAGGCGAGGTGGGCAGATCCTTCACAGGGTTTGCAGCTCTCTGGGCTATAAGGGGGGGCAGGACCTTGCACCAACCTCCACGAAGGCATCAGTCAGGTCACTAGCACGGTCCATCACCGGCAAATGGCGCCCGGCCACGATTTTCACCTTCAGTTTCCCGGGCATCTTGTCGACTTCTGCCTCTCCTTGGGCTCCTGCAGGAAAAAAAAAAAAAAAAAAAAAAACCGAGTCTGCGCCGAACGCCGGAGCCGGACACGCGCCGGTCGGGGGCGCGCGGGGCAACTGACAGCGGAGGACGCGCGAGGACGCGCACAGCCGCCGCGGGCCCGTCACTCACGCTTGGGGGTGAACAGGGACCGTCTGGCGCTGGCGCTGAGGTCTCATTCCGGAAGAGGCAGGCGGAAGAAAACGCCCTACTGGATTCTTCTGTCTTGTGCCCCGCAAAGCTGGGAAGAGAAGCCGAGCCCGGTCCGCATCCCGTAGAGCCTCGACCGCCCCTCCAGGGTGTTTCTCCTCCCCCCCCAAAATGGCGGCCGTCGGGGCGTGCGGGAGGGAGGAGGCATCGATCGTTCGGCGCTCGGCCCTCTTGGCGGGGGAGCAGTTGAATTCGCCGAGCGGAGATGAAAGGGGCGGGGCCGTCTTGGAGGAAACCGGCGGACAGGGGAATGGGTCGAATCTTGCATCATCCACCGAGTCGCGGCTGTGCCTTTCCTCAGCTGAGGAAAACGCTGCCGCCTTCAGGGCCCGAGCGCGGGCACGGCTCACGGGCATAGCGGCGGGCCACGGGTTCGCGAGCCCCTGCCACCGCGAATCCGACCGAAGTAGCAGCTGCGAAGGCTGCGAGGGGAGCGTTTCCAGTCGGCCTGTGTCCACCCGTCACTTGGGGGTGGAACCGAGTTGGCTGGTTTCCGGCCTGGAAGAGGTACAGGTGGAGTGGTTTTCCGTGAGGGGAAACTGCCCGGGCTCTCTCCGTAGTGAACCGAGCGTGACTTAGTGAAGCGTTCGTTTCGGCCACGTGGCACTTGTACTGGGGCGAGAGGGCACTGTGAAAGTTAAAGTCCCTGCTTGGTGCGAGTCGCCCTGCACTTGGCTCACCTCGGGGGTGTTTATGAAGCATCCACAAGCCTTAAGTTCAAGACCCAGGATGCGGCGGGTGGTCCTTCATCCGCAAGAAGCGAGCCGTAGTAGCATTTAACATCCTGAAGAACCGACTCCGTGGTGTACAGAAAAACGTGCAAAGCAAATATCAAAATCCATATATCAAATATCAAAACGAGCCTTAGTGGTTAATCCGTATCCTGGCTGCCAAAAATAGCATGAACAAAGCAAAGGGAAAGGAAGTTGCGCGGCTCCTGCGTTCTCCAGGAATGGAAACTTCCTAACCTGGGGTATCAGCGTGCTCTGTTTAACTGTGAATAAATTCATCGAGGTGCAGTAGGTAGTCAAAGCAGATGTTACCCAGAATTAGCTTTTCCAAGACAAAATTTCTTCCTACACAAAGAATATTGTTCACGAAAGTAAGAAGTTCAGCTCTTTTAAGGAGAAAGGAACCTTATCCAAGGAAAAAATCGGAAAGATCAAGCTCCTAATTTATTTCCTTTCAGCCACCTGCAGCTCTTGCAGATTTTCCATCCAGTGGTTCACTCCCCCAGATGGGGGGTGGGGGGTGGGGCGTGGAGAGGGGCGGTGTACAATCTGGATTTCCTAAAAGGGTGGCTGGAACCATCACCACTGTTTCCCAGGGTGCACATGGGCATAAAGCAGTTTAGAGGGCCCGGCAGCGTGGTCTAGAGGCTAAAAAGTCCTCGCCTTGAACGCGCCCGGGATCCCATATGGGCGCTGGTTCTAATCCTAGCAGCTCCACTTCCCACCCAGCTCCCTGCTTGTGGCCTGGGAAAACATTCGAGGACCGCCCAAAGCCTTGGGACCCTGCACCCACGTGGGAGACCTAGAAGAAGTTCCTGGATCCTGGCTTTGGATTCGCATAGCATCGGCCGTTGTGCTCACTTGGGGAGTGAATCATCGGACTGAAGATCTATCTCTCCTCCTCTCTGTATATCTGACTTTGTAATAAAAATAAATAAATCTTTTTAAAAAAATAAAGCTGGTTAGAAGTGCATGTAAGACTCCCATGTGGGATACCAGTATCCCAAGGAGCAACTCTGGCCCAAAGCCTGCCCGTGCAGCTTTTTTCTGGAGTCTGACTTTATGCTTACCAAATTCTAAAGACCAACTACCTAAAGGAATCAGTCCTTTCTGGTGGTAAGGTTGAAGTGGCTATTTCTAATGAAATCTACATATTGCTAATTCACTTTTAATACAGGAGCATTAAAAAATACATTAGAAAACCTTAGCAATAATGGCAATGGACAATTATGTGCTAAATTATGAGATACTGCAGTGTAAAAAGTATTTGCAAATTGCATAATTAGAGGTTAGCAATCCCAGCCTCCTAATTAGTAGGCTATAAGGTACTTGTACGTTCCTGTTGCCCTAGGCTTCATTAACAGGAGATTATAATTAAGATGCTTCCTGAAGACCCTTTTTATAAGTAAAATTAAGCCTGTCTTCAGTTTAACTGTTCCCTAATAATCATATTAGTTTGTTTTAATTAATGCTGGGAACAGTGCTGACTTGCCGGACAAATACGAAGTGAGCCCTAATCAGCTCCTGTAGCTTCCTACCCTGAACCTGTTCTTAGCATTTTAAATCCTGCAGTAATAATGAGAGTTAATATGTACTGAGTGTTTGCAGCGTGCCAACTGCTGAATTCTGTGCCTCAAAGTTTTTAAGACTCCTTAAATACTGCATGAATATAATCAGGTTTCATCTTGTTGTTTTTTTTTTAGACTTATTTGTTATTTATTTCAAAGGCAAAATTATAGACAAAGAGAGACGGAGATCTTTGATTCATTGGTTTACTACCCAGATGGTTGCAACAGCTAGGGCTGGGACTGGCCGAAGCCAGGGGCCTAGAAATTGCCCCGATCTCAGATGCATGGCTTGGACCCTTGTAACTGGGCCATCTTCTCCTGGTTTCCCATGCACAGTAGCAGGCAGCTAGATCGTAAGCAGAGCAGGTGATACTCAAACCAGTGCTCTAAAACGGGAGGCCAGCATGACGGGTGTCATCTACCCACTGCGCCATACCACTCGCCCCAGTCCTCATCTTATAAATGAGAAAATTGAGGCTTTGCAAAGCTGTTATGTTGACCAGGTTCACAGAACTGATGATGATATAAGCAGTTTGCATCTAGGAAATGTGATTCTAAGAACCCATACTCTTTAGAGGCTTAATTTTATAGCAAATTATTTCTTTCCCTGTGCCTGGAATATTTTTTTTAATTATATATTTTAAAAAAAAGCATTTATTTTTAACCTGAAAGGCAGAGTTACAAAGAGAGAGACCAAGAGAGTAAGAGAGAAGTCTTCATCTGCTGGGTCACTTCCCAAATGGCCGCAGTGACTGAAGATGGGCCATACCAAAGAACATAGAAGCTTCTTCCAGGTCTCCTAAATGGATAGAGGGCCCCAACCCCCTGGACCTCCTTCCACTACTTTGTCAAGTTCATTAGCAGAGAGCTGAATCGGAAGTGGGGCCACCAGCACTCCAACAAATGCCCAAATGGGTTGCTGGTAATACAGTCAGCATCTTTACTTAGTACACCACAGCGCCAATCCCTGGAATATCCTAGCGGTCACTTAGGAATCACAGATCAATTTAAAACTCAATTCTACATCTATGATTTCTTTTGTAAAAAAAAAAAAAAATACTCTTCACTCACACCTGTGCTACTGCTAATATCATACACCTGTTACTGTACTCTGTCCTAATTAACTTTTCTGTCTTATACTCCCTCCTAACCCCCAACCCTGTCCACTAAACTTTGAGCATGTTAAAGAAAGGGTTATATTTTTTCCTTTTTTCTTTCAATTCTCATTTCCTTCTTCTGTGGCCCTCAGGCAGTCAGTAAATACTTGTGTAAGTAAACTGAGTCACAACACAAATATTACTATTTGTTCTCTCTCTTCCTGCCTGATTTACCCAAATGTTCCCTTTAATCACTCTCCATCCCTGTAAAATTAAAATTGCCTGTACTTGGTGCCCTCTGCTTGCCTACCAGACATTTTTGAAATTCTATCTATGTTTAGCCACCAACACTCTATACCAAAATAGCTTTCATTAACACTGCTATCAATAGCCCCTGGTGCCTACTCCAGTCAACCTTTTCTTGTTTTCATTCTACATGACTCCCAGGAGCATTTGATGGCATAAATCATACTCTCCTTAGAATGCTTTTCTTGTTGATATTCAGACACCACTCTGCTCTTACCTATTCTAGTATATACATATGTCTCTCAGCCTACTCACTGTGCTTAACTATTAAATGTGCAAGTTTTCACAGGTTCCGTTCTTGAGTTTCTTCCAGCTATAGTCTCTCTTTAGGTGATCTCATCCATCCCCCTAATTTCAGTTTCCATCTGTTTAGCCAATGGCTGTCCAAAAAAATAAATAAATAAAATAAGTGTAAATGCAATCTTTCCTCCTGCCTTTAATTTTAAACAACACATTAAAATTGTTCAAATTTATGGCATGCCATGTGATGTTTTGGTACATATGTGCCTTGTATAATGTCAAATCTGAGTAAGCATATCTGCTCACATACTTATCTCTTTGCAATGACGACATTCAAGTTGGTCTCTCCTAGCTTTAGACATATATATATGCATGCATGTACAGTACATTATCTGAAACGACCCTACTGCAATATAGAACTAAACATTTTACTCTATTCTAACTATACCTTATTACCCATTATCAATCTTAGCCCATTCCCTGTGTTCCTCAGCCTCTGGCTAACCACCATTATACTCTCAGCTTCTGTGAGATCAACTTCGTTTTCAAATTTTTAAGATTCATCTACTTGGAAGGCAAAGTTATACACAGAGAGACATCTTCCACCTGCTGGTTCACACCTCAAATGGCTACAACAACCAGGGCTAGGCCAGGCCCAAACCAGAAGTCTGGAACTCTATCTTGGTCTCCTACCTGGGTGGCAGGGGCCAAAACCATCTTCTACTGTTTTCCAAGTCCCTTTAACAGGCAGTAGGATAGGAAATGTGCAACCAGGACTTGCAGACAGCAGCTTAACCTGCATCTCTTATTTGCTTTAATTTAAAATTTTATTGTTTATTTGAAATGTAGAGAGTCAGAGAGAGTGGTCCTCCATCCACTGCTTACGCCTCAGTTGCCTACTTACATTCGAGTTTGGGTGAGGCTGAAGCCAGGGGCTCAGAACTCTCCAGTGCTTGTGGCTGAGAGGCACCTAAGCACTTGAGCCATCACCTTCTGCTCAGATACTTAGGCATACACTAACAGGAAGCTGGAATCGGGAGTGGAGCCAGGATGGAAACCCAGGCACTCTGTCATGAGGTGTGGGTATCTGAAGTGTATCTGACCCTGTACCAAATGCCCACCCTGGGGTCTACATTTTTAGGTTCTA